AGCGGAGCTGTTCTCAGTATTATTTTAGGATTCTCTAAGTTTCCAAGTGGTTTAGCCTTGCCCTGCAAGCTGAGGCACTGTTTGCTTTGTTCTCCATGCCCAACCTTGCTGTGCTGTGTCACCTTCCTAAACAGTGAAGTCAGAATTTCCTAGACAGCTCAAAGGCTTTAATTACTGGCATAGATGATCTTTCCCAAGGGAAGTTAAGGGTGTCCTTGAATTAAAACCACAGGTTCCTGAGGCACTTTCTCTTCCAAGAACAAAAAGCTTTTTTGTAAATATTTTTGAAGGTTTGTGAGGCCTCTTAAGATCAGTTATAATGCCTAGATATTATGAAAATCCACCTGGAGACAGAGGAGCAGAGAATAGTTGGTTGGTGGAGCCAGGTAGATCCTCTAAGAACAAGCATTCCCTGACTGATCTCGTGGTGTCTCTCCAGACATTTCATAGAATTATGTAATGGTTTGAATTGGAAGGGACCTTTTAGATCATCTTGTTCCAACCTCTCTGCCAGGGGCAGGGACACCTTCCACTGTCCCAGGTTGCTCAGAGCCCCATCCAACCCGGCCTTGGACACTTCCAGGGATGGGGCAGCCAAAGCTTTTCTAGACAACCTGTGCCAGGGCTCCCACACCATCCTCACAGGGAAGAATTTCTTCCCAATATCCAATCTAAATCTATTTTCTTTCAGTTAGAAACCATTCCACCTTGTCCTATCATTCCATGCCCTTGTCAGACAGAACCCCAGGCTCAAAGAACACCATTTTTTGAACACTTCCAGGGATGGAGACTCCAACACTTCCCCGGGCAGCCTGTTCCAATGCCTGACCACCCTTTCAGTAAAGGAATTTTTCCTAAAATCCAGTTTAAACCTCCACTGGTGCAACTTGAGGCCATTTCCTCTCAACCTGTCTCTTGTTACCTGGGAGAAGAGACCAACCCTTATCTCACTATAACGTTCTTTCAGGGAGTTGTAAAGAGACATGAAGTGATGCTGTCACCACCACCACCAAATCCTGGCAACCCTCTCCCTGTTCCCTTTGCCACAGGACATCCCTGTTGTGCACCAGAGAAAGGCAGGTGAGAAATAAGAATCTGGTGAACAAGAACATGGAAGCTCATGGATGATCTATCAACTCCCTCTGTCCTGTTCCAGCAGGAGAAAGAAGGAGTAGGAGGCTGGATCCTGCCTGGGTATTCACTTCACCAGGGTTAAGCAGCTAATAATCACTCCAGATGAATAATACCCTTGGAGGAGAGCCAGAGAATCCCAAATCATTCTCTGATTTCAGCTTTCAATTTACCCGGCCAGTGCTCAGCTCATTAATCACACTTGCAGCATCCAACACAACAGAAATTAGTCCCTCGATCTTCTCCCCTCTTGTTTCGTGACATGAGGAGTTGGGGGCAAGAGGAAGAGAAACGAGATGGACAGGTGCCACCCACAAATCTCACAGTTACTCAGAGGGGCTGGGATTAATAAATCAAAAATCCATTGTTAATAGTACAAGCTTAAATATCCATCTAAATGCAAATGAATGAACACTCAGGAGTTCTTCCTCTTTTTTTTCTTTTTTTTTTCCCCAAGTGCTCTGTTTGACAGCTCCATCTTTGAGGAAGCACATGGTCACCTGCTAATTGTGTGTTCTAATTGCAATTTTACAGTTCAACCTTTCACAGCCCGTGGATTTTAAGTGGCTGTGGCGTGGTTTGGATGGGGTTGAAAGCTCAGGTGGCTGCAGGAACAGGCAGGAGCTCTCATGTGAGGACTGCTTGGAGTTTCCTGCCTTTACACCTGTTCAGTCACAGGCCTCAAGGGGTTAAATCCAGAGGCCGATTCACTGGATTCAGGTGGGGTTTGGATCACCAAGATCTGCACCCTTAGGTGGATGACTGTGGATGTGGGGAAGGTCCACCTGGCCAGTCTTGGAGCAGGAACGTGGAGAGTGGTAAAAGAGGAAGCTTAAGACATACCAGTGTCTTCTGAGCAACACCCTCACAGCCTGGCTTGGGCTGTGCAGGGAGTACAGCAACAGGCAGGGAAATGAACCTGTAAATCCATTAAATTTGCCAGATCTTGGAAATGGGATTTCACAGAATCACAGAATGGTTTGGGTTGGAAGAGACCTCAAAGATCATCTCATTCCAACCCCCTGTCATGAGCAGGGACACATTCCACTAGCCCAGTTGTTCCAAGCTCCATCCAAACTGGTCTTGAGCACTTCCAGGGATGGGGCATCCTGAGATTCATCCACTTGCACAACTGTCCTATGAGACTGATCAGTGGGAAAACCTCTAATTTAAGGAAGTGAGTGGCAGGAAGGAGAAGATGGGAGCAAAGACAGCAAACACAGAAGTGTGGCTGAACCTCAGGGTTTCCTGGCACAGAGTTACCAGTCGTGAGCTCTACCACATACCAGCCAACAGGTCCAGGGTGAAGCCTAAAAATCCTTGCTCCAAGCAGGAAAACAATCACCCAAAACTGTGACCCAGAACTGCAAAGCCCTTGGCAGCCCCAGAGTGCTGTTCAAGTTCGAGGTGAGCATTCAGGACTAGAGAACAGGCTTTGCATAATTTGCCTTTCATTAGACTTTCCCAGGAGTCAGAAGTGGTAGTAAATCAGCTTTAAAATGTTGTGCAAATCAGCTTTAAAATATTGCACAAACAGCTTGGCAGCTCCCGTTGCCAGAGATCACTGGATCAGCTCTAGTTTTGGAACATCCCCCGGCAAAAATCTGCTGACATCAGCATTTAGGACTTTTCAACTGCTTGAGATTGTAAATGTTGATTGGAAACACTCGCAAGAAAGCACACACACACCCCAACACACGCACAGAGGAGTCTCAGCAGCAACATTTGCACAACCAATCTGCTGGGGATTTTTGAATCCATCCTTGAAAACTGAGCCGTGGTGACGGTGCCAAGAAATCGCCTGCTCAGCTCTGAGCTGGGAGCCCGTTCTCTGATGCCATGAGGATGCAGGGATTAAAAATTGAAAGCATTCCCAACATCCTGCACTCCCAGAGGGACAACAGGCAGCCAAACAAGCTGTTAAGCCTTGGGAGCAGGAGTATGGAGTGGGCAGAGCTCCTGGGACAAGGAGTGACCTGGCCCAGTGGGTCAGAACAGGATAATCTTTAGGATCCTTTGCAACCCAAACCATTCTGTCATTCCACAAGGCAGAGCTGATTATGCTGAACTGGGCAGCATTTTGCCCCAGATCAATGGCATTCAAAGCTTTCAATCCATGATGAGCACTGGGCAACCCTGCATCTGTCTCCTACCAGGCACTTCCCAGTGCCAGCTCTGACAGATATATGTGCCCACCGTGAGTGCCATCACTGCCCTCGGATCCAGCCACGTGCAAACTGGATTTCACTCTTTTCATGCTCAGATTACAGCTAATTAAATCCATCTTGGCAGGGGAACATCTCCATCCTTCTGGAGGAAGGCTGCAGAAAGCAAAAACCAATGAGATGTTGTGCAGAGGAGTCCAAATTCTGCCCTTATTTGCCAAAAATTAGATTTGTATACAAGTGCTTTAATTCCATTCCAGCATGGAGAAACAACAGATTTAGGAGAGCAGGCCAGCTCCTTCTGAGTCTGCCCAGCAATACACAACACTCTGTGCTGACCTGCAGCTCTTTGGCAAAATAAAACACAATTTTATTAATTTCTTGAAGGTTCACCTGCACTCAACAGTCTTCTAATAATGGAATAATTTTCACTACAAGCCAGAGGGACCAGTTCTGCCCCGGGCTCCAACATGGGTGTGATTTCACAAGCAAGGAGACCCTCTGGGTTCTTCAGCTTTGTTTGGATCCACTCATAGGTGCAAAATTTATCACAGGCCATCAAGAAGGGTGAGCTGCCTGCAAATATGTTGCCCGCCTATGTGTGCATATGCTACTTAATGGAGCATAAAAGGAGAAGAATGGAATCATTTTTCAGGTGCTGCAGATAATGTTAATAAATAATAATAATAAATGCAGAGGTAGGTGCCAAACGTGTGAGATCTCAAGGAGAGAAAGCGACTGCAGGCAGAAAAGAAGCCAGGTTGGTCTTCAAACTGAGATACAAAAGTCAATGAAGTAAAACCACCATTAAATCAAACACTTTGTATCTTTGTCAAGTTCACTCAGGATTTAAGAGCTCACTTCCAGAATGTTGGTTTTGGTTTTGTTGGTTTTTTTTCTAAGATGCACATTCTTTGACAACTACTTATCCTACAGTATAGGATTTATGGCCCTGACTCTTTTTGGTAACTTGGGATTTCTTTTTTTTTTCCTTGCTGACTACAATCACGTCACTCCAAACCTCCTGAACAGCACAAGTCATCACAGAAATCCTGGAAAATCCCGAAAAAAAATCAATTTACCCTATTGCAGCAGCACAATGTGAAGTTCATAGCACCTGAACTTCACCACCACAGGCCAGATTTGCAACAGTGGCCTCTGATTTTGCATTACTCTCCTTATGGTGTCTGATTTAGGGTGAGCACTGCAGAGAGCCAAGCACTGCTATGCCAAACCCAATCCTGAGTCTCAATTCATGCATCCTTTATATAGGAAAATCCCAAATTGGAAGAGTTAAAATAAGAGAGAACTTCTGCAAAATGTAGACTGAGGTCCAAAGCATCAAATGAAATGCAAACACTCCTCCCTGTGAACAGCAACATGAATGTCTCTGCTTGAACCCTGGAGGGTTTCCCTGGTACAAGAACATGATGCTTTCAGCACACAGGGCCCTTCATGAACTGTTCTGAAAACACCTGACTGCAGATCTTTAAATGCAAGACCCAGCTCAACTGGCACTAAAAGAGAAGTCAGTAAGAAGTGGTGCACAGGTGAAGGAAGAAACACTCCCCACCAGGGCAAAGAGAAAACGGAGTGGAGAGAGTAAGGACTGAGACAGACTGACACATCACTGCTAAAACTGTGATGATTTCACCTAAAAAGTAAACAGACCCATGAGAACAAAGAGAAACCCACAGAACTCACCCATCATTTTCATCCCAGAGGATGCAGGTCTGGTTGGTGGTTCCCTGCCAGGAGACAAGAGAGGGAAAAAAAAGAAATAAATCAGTGTCATGCTGTTTGTGGGGTATGTGATTAGAATGAAATATGTGGAACATATCCCACTGTAGAACAATTTCCACTACCCTAAACTTGGTGTGTCTGGGATGCACCAGATGGGCAGTCATGGATCTCAGTCCTCTGAATGGATTCTTTCACCCTGGGCTTGAAAAGTGAGGCCAAAATGTGCCTCAGTTTGTTCCACATCACCATCTCTACAAGGAGGATTTGACTCTGCATCTTTCCTGACTCACCCTACTGATGTTCTTCCTTATTCTTCCCCTCAAACAGAATCCTTCTGCTGCTCCCTTCTGGAAAGTGGATCAAATACAGCCTGTGCTTTTGTGGGACATGGTGCTGGGAAGAACCACAGCCCCTTAAGAGTGAGTCAGGTGTGTTTGAAGCCCCCTGGAAGGGGTTTACCACTGACTCCAGCTGTCTTAGACCCCTTTGGAAAACCCTTCCAGGAGAGTCCAAAGCAAAGACACAACGGATCTAATATTCGTGCTGTAGAGCCTCAGGAGGACATCTAAGACCCACGGCAAGGAGAGGCCGTGGGGTGTGTAACTGTCCATCCCATACATCTGCTTAGGTTGAGCAGAAGAGCTTGGAGCAAAGGAGCCTGCCTTTGGAAGCACTGAGGACAACAGTAATATTCCTGTCGCCAGTATTAATGGAAAAAAAAATCCCCTCTCCTTTCCCTCCTCAAAGAAGATTGTTCTGGCAACCTTTTTTTTTAATGAGCACATAATTATCCTCCCATGATTTTCCACAATGAAATGGTATGAATTTGGGACCATTATGCCCATGTTCCCTGTGCCAGCTGTGCTGTCACCCTCCTGCTGCCCTGGCAGTGCCTGAGCAAGGAGCACAGAGCAGGGGAGGTTTGGAAGGTTGATCCATATAATCATCCCTTGCAGTGACCAACAACAGGACACTCAGCAGTGTTTAGGGAGATTGAAGGGTCCTGCAAAGAGATCTCAAGAGCCCAGAAAAACCACCTCCTTCCTTGCACCAACACATTCCTGCTCTGCAGAAGCAAACACAGCTGTGGGATGGTGCAGTCCCAGGAAATACTTACGTTGTACAGGTGGGAGAATTCAATTTCCAAAGGGGTGAGGAGGGAGCGAGGAAATGGCTTCACAGTCACCGAGATGACTTTGGAGTTCAGAACAGTGCTGTTCCTGGGGAGAAAAGGGGAAAGAGATGCTTTGAAGAGGATTTTTGTGGAGCACAAAATCCACACATCCATCACTGGTGGTACAAGGTTTGGTGTACACAGTGAAGAAGTTGACCCCATTACTTTACAATACCATGAAAAGACACTTGCTGCTGATGGAACCCCTTCTCAGCCCCTTGAGCTCCCCTCATAGCCACTAGACATCTATTCCTCCAGGAATCAGTCACTTTATGAACCTCAATGACTCCCTAAATCTGTTGGAATTATAGACTGTATATATTCCAGTAATAAAATAGTCCTGGACCCATTTTCTATCCCTCACATGAGGAAACAGAGTTCATTTGGACTACAGTGATCCTTGCTGGCCCCTTCCAGCTCGAGATATTCTACTATTTCATGTGCTTTCAAAACAAAACCTCTGTTTTCCCCCTCAAAGGCTGCTTGGTTGCCTTTACAACATATCCATGGGCACCACATCCCTGGAAGTGTTCAAGGCCAGGTTGGATGGAGCTCTGAGCAACTTTGTCTAGTGGAAGGTGTCCCTGCCCATGGCAGGGGGGTTGAAATGAGATGAGCTTTAAGGTCCTTCCAACCCAAGGCCATTCTGTAATTCCATGATCCTGTCTGGAGATACGGTGTGTATCTCTATTCCTTGAGGATCAAAAGCAGATGGAAAAAGGCCAAACCTTTCAAGTAAATGTCAAAATGTTTGTGCCCAGGTAAAATATTGTATTAAATCTGGCAGCCTGAGGAGGTTTGGCTGTTGGAAGAAGCAGTAAGTGAGGAGATACTTCCCATACCTATGCTCCTGCTTCCTGGAAAACCAAACTCTTTGCAGGCACTTCCCTGGACACTGAACATGTAAATATACAGGTTTTCCTGGTGGTTCTGCAGATTACTGGTGTTTAAATAAGCAGAAGGTCCCCACAACCAGCAGCTGAAAACCCTGCCATGAAGGAATTGGTGGTAGCTGAGCATCAGGCTGCTCCCAGCCCCTCGTGGCACCCATGGGCAAGGGAAAATTTTCCCTATCCAAACCTCCACCAAATTGACAGGTACTAATAAAATCTTACACTTTTCTTTCTGACTTTTATATTTCTTTTTACAAAGGAATTAAGTGGGAAAGATTTGCACTTGCTTAACAGCAATAATAATAAAAAGAAGGTTTAAAAAAAAACACTTGGAATTGACCATGGATGTGTAAGTGGATGCTCAGAAAGCCACTATTCCACCAACACTAGAGGGAACAACAGCACTGGTTTAACAGGGTAAAGAAGAAAAATAATAATATATTTTCCTTAAAAAAAAAAAGAAGTAACAAAGCACAGCTAACAGCCTACAAAGGAAAAGTGAAAGAGTAAGTCAGTGGGAGCAGCAGCTGTAAGAAGCTAAAAACAAGATGTGCTGAGAGGTAACCACCAGTGCATGTCTTCATTAGTAGCTGTGTCTGTGAGGGTCAGCTCTTGGTTCAGTGTGCTGAATATTTACACGAGCAACACAGATGAGACCAAAACATCCTTTTGAAGGCCAAGGACCAGCTGAGAATCAATGCAGTAAAACAAAAGCAGAAAGAGCATTTCATTTTTCAGCGTGGGAAGCTGCAGGAACACAATATTCACTGGTGTGGTGAAGATTGGTTAATGGCCAAGTGGTCACAGCTCAAGCAGGAGTTGAAGGTGGCTTGGGGAAAGTTGCAGAACGACTTTTTACATGGGTAGACAGTGATGGGACAAGGGGAAATGGTCTTAAACTAGAAGAGGAGAGATTTAGATTAGATATAAGGAAGAAATTCTTCCCTGGGAGGGTGGTGAGGCCCTGGCACAGGTGTCCAGAGAAACTGTAGCTGCCCATCTCTGGAAGTGTTCAATGCCAGGTTGGACAGGGCTTGGAGCAACCTGGGCTAGTGGAAGGTGTCCCTGGCCATGGTAGGAGGTTGGAATGAGATGGTCTTTTAGGTCCCTTCCACTGAGATGAAGCAGAGATCTGCTCTATGCACCCCTCCTTGTCAGGATTCCACTGTACTATCTGGTTCAATTCCACTTTGAGATGAGGAAACAGCTCAAGGAGACCAAAGTAGAGACAGAAAATTGATCCAGGTGCTGGAAAACCAGACAAAAGTTTCCTGTTGAAAGGCATGTCTGACGGTCTGTTACATGTGAGGGGCTTTTCAGTCGCCAGGCCCGGTGCCTGGAAGTGAAAATCAGAAAATTCAGCCTTAAAATGAGAACCAGGCTCCCAGCAGAGAAGGTAATTAAGCATCTGAGCAGCTTTCCGGGGGAGGAGAAGGACTCAGCATCACGGGGAATCTTTCGGGAGGAAGATGAGTCGTTATTCCTAAAAGTACATTTCAGCCCAGCTTCTGGGAGGAAAACAAGAAACATGGAGATGTGGCTTGAACAGGAGCTCAGAGGGCTCCTGAGTGGCTGTAAAGAGTGTGCAAACAGCTGTAAACACCCTGCTGAGCACTCAGGGCTGGAAGGTGCCAGGCTGGTGGTTCTCCAGTGTCCTCTGCAGCACTGTCGAGGTGGGACTGATCTCTGCTCACCTCCCTGCCTTGAAAAATCAGGTTTTGTGTGTGCCCCGTCTCCACTGTCACAGCTGCCAGGATCCACAGGGCTCTCTGGATCCGAGGGGACAGAGTAATGTGTGAGTCAGAGAAGGCATTGCTGCCTGGGGGAGGTAAATTGGGACAATTAGGAACAGCTCAGCTGGTGCTGTTCACTGAGTTAAATCTCCTTTTTTTTTTTTTTTCCTTTGAGGAAAAATCACTCTGCATTGAATCAGTGTGGTCAAACCCAGGATCCGGGTCCATGTTGCTTATGTGTACCCAGGAATAGCTCCTCTCCTCTGTGGTCAGAATCATTTTTTACCCATAGGCAGCTACATGGCTATTTAATGACATTCTCCTTTTCAATGCTGTGTCCATTTGCACAGCAGTGAAGTAAGAGGTACTTTACTGCTGCTGCTGCTTTTATTTCTCCTTTTTTTTTTTTTCCTTTGACTCTCCACAGGTGATTCAAGACTCCTGATTTTTTTTTTTTTTAAAGAAGGACTGTCCTTTAATTAAGGAACATCTTAAATCAGGTCTCCTGTGGGAATGCTAGTCGGAGGCTGTGGCTGCTGCAGCTGCTGGTTATCAGAGCTCATTCCCTGCTTGGCCAGAGAAAGCTGAAATACTGCTGGATCATTTGAGCCAATGATGTTTATTGCCCTTCTGATCTAATTCCCACTGCTGTAATGGAAGATATTACAGAATACAGTTGGCTGACTTGCTAATTCCTCCCTGCACTCACTTGGAGCTCTTTTGCCATTGCCAGTGCTAAATCTGGAGGTATTTAAATGATTATCGGTGAGGAGAGATGCCCTGGTGTTTATGGTAAATGGGCTCACGCTAATCAGTGCAGAACAGATTTAGAAGGTGCCTTAGGATGCTTAATTTACTGCCTCAGTACCGGTCTCGGAAAAAAAAAAAAAAAAAAAGAGCGAGAAAAAAAGGAAGAGGAGGGAAGGGAAGGAAGGAGAGCGCTGAACACAAAAGCTTCGGTGCCCGAGGCAGTTTGCAGCGGCCGGGAACAGGGCAGACATGTGCAGCCAGGCGTGCTGCTGCTGCTCTCCTCCCGAGCCTGTCTCTGCCGTGATGCTCTCGAGGGCTCAGCCTGGTTTGGCAGCTCTCCGGGAGCTCGGGAGGATCGAGGCAGCTGAGCATCCATCCCCCCTCTGTCCAACCCTCCCCAAATCCCTCGTGCGAGAATCCATGCCCGGAGGGCAAAGGGCGGCAGGCAGGGATGAAGCAGCAGCTCTGTGCCTCTCCTCCTATCCGGGGTGCACATGGGTGGGGAAAACCTTCCTGCTCTTCCAGCACATGATGGCTGCAAGGCATGAGCCCGTCCCCACCTGAACGCGCAGCATCAGCCCGTGGGGGGCAAAATATTTTCACTGTCTCGTTGTACCCCGGTGACCTTCGCTTTTTCCTGGAAAACCAGGGGTCTGCAGTCAGAGTGATCAGCAGGAAAGCCTTCTCACCCTGCTCAGGCAGCCCTTCTTACCTCTGGAGGGAGAGGATGTTGCCCACGTTCCGGTACAGCACAGTCCCCACCACGAAGACGGAGGAGTCGTCCGACACTGCAGGACACCAGAGGGAAGGGAAGAAGACAACGGCACTGAGACAATCGGGGTGACAGCTGTCCCCATGGGACACCCACGTGCACGATTTGGCCTCTGTTGGGGCACAGCCAACGCCAGAGTGGCTGTGGTGGGATGCAGTGCCTGCTGTCACCACACTGGGTCTCCATCGTTCCCCAGAGAGGGCTCAGCGCCTTCGGGGTGACCCGGCATCCACCCTCACGCAAGGCTCACTCATCCCAGATGACCAGCCCGCTGCTCTCCCCCATTCAGAAACCCACTACTCCCTCTGACAGCACCACAGCAGGCGGATCTGCAGGGTGGAAAGGTCTCCTGCAGCCACCTCGAGGCATTTGGACCCATCTATAATCATCAAGCCTTCAGAGGGAAGAGCCGAGCTCGGGCCGACAAGGGCAGCAAGAAGGGGAGTTGTCCCACTGCGCCTTGTCTGACCCCAAAACTCATGTGGTGTCTCGGGACCAAGGTCCCAGATGAGCCTCTGAATCATCTGTGTGACCTCTGGGCACATCACTTGACCTCCTCCTGCTTTCCCTTTTCCTCCTCCTCTGCTGTCTCGCAGGGCCCAGCTGCAAAAAGCAAGGGGTCCCCTGATAAACTCCAAGCAGCAGAGGCAGCCCTGAAGATGGATTTTTGGGGGAGAAAAAGGAAGTGGACAAATGAAAAGCAATGCTGAGGAAGCCTGGGGTAGGGCCCTGAGCTGGGGCTTCTCTCATGCCTTGTGCTGAGATTGAGTTTGCTCCATCAGTGCAGGGCAGGCAAAACTCTGTGTTCATCTTTCACATCATCAGGCTGGGCTCACTGGGGATAACTGGTGAACACATAACTGGGAGAGACTGACAGACAGGCTTGCAGGGCAGTTGTATCATCCAACTGCACAAACCAGTGTTGGCCCACCAAAATCAGCTCCCAGTAGTGAGGGAGTTTGGTTCTGGTCTCATGAAGCTTCCTGTCTCTGTCACTTTGCTCAGGATAGTTACTCGTACTCCCTGCAGCCGAAGGGAAGTGAGGATCAAAGCTAAAAGAGGTGCATCTCCACTGTAATCACTAAATAAACCCTTGAAGAATATACCACCAGCACAAGATACTGAACAAAACAGAGGCATGAGAGCCCTGGGTGGTAGTCAGGAAACCATGGAGAAGTGAGGACTGATGGGAAGCCGTTTCTTCAGGCTGGATGTCACCTTTTGTTTGCACAGTCACTGCAGCTTGGGGGCCCCAGAGCAGCTCTGTGTGAGGATGTTTCTAATGGAAATCTGGAAAACAGCAGCATGAGGAATTGGATACTTTCAGGACAGCCCTCGGCCCCAGGGCAGGATCAGCTCTGTCTCTGCCTGGTGCCAGCAGTTTGTCCAAAGCTTTCCAGAGGTGAAGGTACCACAACACACAAACTGTGGCAACCCTTCCAACATGCTCCAGCTTCTCCCACGGAGATCACGGTGTCTCCAAGGCACAACAAAACAGAAGGAGAGCTTCACATGATCCTTGCTCTGACAGTGACTCACTGTTTACCTTTGGGGGTGTCACTGAACAGTTCCCAGCCTCAGATTTCCCAAGTAGAAATGATGGTTGATTCCATTCCCAGCAGGGAAGCCCAAGACAAGAGGTCCTGGTGTGACAACAGGAGTCCAAAGGTTTTCTGGCAGCAACAACTCACAGTCTCTGGCCTCTGTCCCAAGGAAGGACAGCAGAGCCTGATGCAGCAGCCAACAGTTTGCCCTCTCAAAACCATGTGTGCCAGAAGTAAATCCCACCATTTCCCAGCAATTAGCCCAACTTGGAGTCCTGCTTTTGAAAACTCAGGGCTCAATCCTGCAAAATTTCGAGTCTATCTGCCAAAAGATGGGTGCCTGAAGTGTGTTTGTTCCTGGGACTTCACCTGGATGCCCCAGCAGAGCATCCCAGAACCTTTCAGGTTCCTTCTGGAGCTGGCAGTGAGGCTGATGCACCCAGAGATCCCACCTCCACACTGTGGCTCATATCCATGCCCTGCTGTGGAGCCAGTGACCTCAGGGATAAATGCCTCTGAATTTCCTCTCTGGGGGCAGGAAGTTTCACACAGCAACCATAAACCCCCAAATCTAGCAAAGCTTGTCCATGCAGCAGACCCTGACCTCAGTCTGATGTGTTGACCACAATCTACTTACCCTTAGATGGTCCTATTAGGCCTGGATCCAGTCTTGGGGGGCATCTAAAGCATTGTTTGCCTATTTTTGCTACTCATTTAGGACAAGATATACACCCACAACCAGGCACTGAGCCTGCTCCTGAACTTTTGCAAGGAGTTTAAGTTGACCTCTTGGTCAGGCCATATCTGAGAGCCTTACTTACACCCATCAATGCTTTTGGTGTCCAAGTATTTGTGAGCAAATCCAGCTGAGCTGGAAGGAGGATTTGAAGACCAGCCAAATGGAAGGAACCACTTGGAAAACGAAGAAGGAATTTTCTGTTGGAGTGCCCTGGCTGTGCTGCCTACCTGAGAGCCCTGAAGACAGGATGCTCTTGGAGACAGTGACCTTGTCCTCTGAGTTCTTGGCCCAGTCCACCATGCCCCTCCAGCCTTTCATGGGGAAGGTGATGTCGGTCGCTGCATTCGCAGGCAGTTTGTGAATGCCGAGGACTAGAGAGGAGCAAGAGATAAAACCAGTCAACAAACCAGCTTCAATAAACTCACCTGTGCTGAAAATACCATTAGAAGCAATTCTGGGAAATCAGGTAGCAGAGAGACTGGATTTTGAGAGCTGTAGGAGTGATGCTCTCCTCAGGTGATGCTGCTTAGGCATGAAAGAAGATGACACTGTTTGGGTTTCATTGGAAAGGCCCTGCCTGCACTAAACCTGGCAGAAGAGAGATCAGGCTGCTCCAGCATCTTGTCTCCAGGAGTGGCCAAAAGCAGTTGTCAAAAAGAAGTGTGAGAAAGAACAGAGCAAGACGTCTCCTGGTCTGTCCTCCCAGCAATGAGCAGGACTTCCTCAGCCAGTGGCTGTATCCAGATCATCAACTTTACAGCCACCAATGGGCCTCTCTTTTGTGCACTTTCCTAATCCCATCATGAACCCATCTGCACTTTTTGGCTTCTGCAGCATCCTCTGGCAACAAGTTCCCCACCGGGGTTGTGCACACAGGATAAATCACACACTGCCTGCTGTTTGCTTGCTGCCTCATCACTCCACTGGCTGCTGTGCAGCTCTTGTGTTCAAAAAATAAAAGGAAGAGACTCATTCTGCCCAGTATGCCTGTTCTCCATTCATGGTTCTATAGATATCTCTTGGATATCTCTCCATGGACATCTCTTGTTCAGGGTGAAATCCTAAATTTTTTGGAGAAAAGCCACCCCGTCTTTACGACCATCCCTGTCTTTCCCAGGACCTTTTAATGCTGCACCACCTGCTGCCTCCCCTCTTTCCCTCCCCACAGCCCAGGTTACACATATTACACAGTAATTAACAGCTCCATGGGCTCTCTATCCTACGTGGGGAGTGCAAATCCACTCACCCAGATTGTCTGTCACTTGGTAGGAATCCCGGAAATCCTTCATGCGGAAGCCGATGACATCAATGAAATCCTCCACAAGCCTGAACAGTTCCTTGGCATTTGGCCCTATCTGCAAAGAGAGGGACAATATTTAGTAGATCAGACACTAATGAGCACAGCAGGAGTTTCTCTGTGGGCAAAGATTCCTGCCCTCGCACGTGAACTGGAAGCATATGCTGGATATAATGGGGTATGAATGGAGCTGGAAAGAATGAGGAATCAGAAATCCTAAAAGGAGACCAAGACCCCTAAAGGACCCCTAAAAGGGGCGAGAAATAATAATATGACATTCAGATTGGTAAAACTTGGGTTGGAGGGCAATGTTTTAAAGCAAACAGAAGTATCTGAGATCGTCTGGAGCAGAAGACAACCTACACATTTACTTGCATAGAATCAGAGAATCAAAGAATCAGAGAATGGTTTGAGTTGGAAGGGACCTTTAAAATCATCTGCTTGATTTCCAAGCCCATTGACTGGAGTATTTGGCCCAAAACCAGAGGCATCTGGAATTGCGCATCCAGAGAGTGAAGATGCGTTGGTGTCGATGTATTGAAGTTTTGCCCTTTGTCAAATTCCAGGAGCCTTTGCCAAGCCTGAGACTTCCCTGACACTCAGGTATTGTGATACTTGGCAAAATATATTTGCTCTACTTCTGATGGCGTATATATATATGTATATATATGTGTTCTCTACTGACATGGAGCCCACAAAGCATTACCTCCACCAGGGTAGTTAATCTTGCTGTCATTTCACAAAGAGCAGCCACACCAAAGGACATCCATGGTTTAATGTTGAATCCCAGGCACCAGACCACATAATCCTATCCAGAAAAGCATTTCCTGGACTGATTTTCTCCTTTCTGGACTGATTTTCTCCTTTCTGGCTGATTTTCTCCTTTCCTGTTTTGCTGGCAGGATCTCACTCTCCAAATAACCAAATTCTTGGTCACGGACCGGTCTTGGATCTTCTCTGTATCTTCTTTCTTCCCTGGTGTTTTCCCATTGATAAAGATATTGGCAGTAACTCTTCTTCACTTGTAATTTGCCAGTCTGAAAGAAGGCTGTTAAACAATAACTAGTTTCCCAGTGACAGATTCCATAAAAGATAATCCACTTGAAAGGAACTGTGCTGTCTTTTTCCTCACATTTGCCTACAGGAGCTTTGCAAATACCATGAGAGGCTGAAGAATTCAGATCCTTCTTTTCCTTTTCCACCACTTTTGGAGCATTTTCAGTTCCTACCTGTAATCCAGACCTTCCTGAGGTGGCTGAGCAGAGCTGAAGGGACAGCTGGGGACAAGCAGGATGGGATGGAGGAGAAGGAAGGCTGAGCCTTCAAATGTGTGGACAAGGAGCACAGGGGTGGCCTTGTGTGTCTTGATCCAAAGGAATCTTGGTAAGACTAAAATTGTATCAGGATGAGATCAAAAAGTCCTGCCAGTACAGCAGGTGTGCACACAAGGAGGAGAAGTAAGTGAGGAAGCTATTTTTAACTGCATATTTTATATTCCATTGCAGATTGAAATCACAAGGTCAAACTAAATCCAGGCTACACTGGCCATTGCATTTTAGGTTTTTATCATATAGTGGTGAACACAATCTCCTCAAAAAGCACAGTAACCCTTCTGTGAGTACTTTTATGGGTTGTTTTGGTTTATATTTTCCTTGAACAACATCTCTGTCTGGGGGGGGCGGAGCACAGGGTTTTGGGATGTGGAAAACGATGAAGTTTGGTTTATTTTTAATGATCAAACTGGGAGACAAAGACTTTGTTTTAAAAGAATTGGTTGATCCTGGGAAATGCAGGGAGTGATTTTGGTCCAGCAGCTTTGAGGGAGAAAAACAGGGACTGTGGAAAACTCTGTTGTTATCCAGTCCATGAAGATTTCTCTGTTCTGAAGTGTTGGGCTCTCATCTCAATTCCCATTGAACAAAACTCCTCCCCATGATATTCCCAATCCACATGAGGGTTATGGTGGTGTTGGCAGCAGGCTGGGCTGTGTCTGTCTATGGGTGCAAAGAGCAGATTGCACAGGGACAGCCAGTGGGAATGAACTGTCACACAGAGTAACTGCAGCTGGGTTTGAGGGCATCAACAGGGTTTCCCCGTTGTCATGACAACTTGACAGCCTCCTCTGCTGTCTGCTGAAATATGTACACGCACCTGAAGGCTTAGAACCACGTATTTGGTCACAGAATGACAGAATCAGAGAATCTCAGTACAGTTTAGTTTGGAAAGGACCTCAGAGGTCATCTGTTCCAACCCTCTTGCTCAAGCAGGGACACTTAGAGCCACTTGCCCAGGACCATGTTGAGATGGTTCTTTATCTCACCTGGAGACAGACCATTCTCATTCAAATGCAATGGGAAAACACAAGATATCAGGGAGAAGAGGCTGCCCAGCTACCGACAGCGTCCCTGTTGCATGAAGGAAATATATTCAGGTCCTTGTCTCCCATTCTGGACTGCCAACAACTGTGCCAGCACTTGCAGTTGAAATTTTTTCCAGGGGACTTCCCTGGTTGGTGTGAATAAACTGGACTCTGGGGCTGATTTTTTTTATTTGATTATTTGGTATTTCCAAATCACTTTGAGGAATTTTTCAACACCAACAGGTGCCTAAAAGTGAGTTGCCATGTTCTGAGCCATCTCTCCAAGTACCTTCCACAGGACTGACCTCTCACAAAGGCTGAGTTTTGTTCCTTGTCCAGGTTATTCTGCAAGTTGAGGTTGTTTGAGACTTTGAGGGTTGAGCAAGTTGAGGGTTTGTGTTTCAAGGTGCAATACTGAGGAATGGGCATGGGAGGAACGAGCTGCTATGGAACCTTCCAGCAGAGCTGCTGGTCTGAGGCAGAGCTTTTTCCCCTCTGATGTGGTGCCTAAAAGCTGCAGTGAGATGACAGCCCTGAGCAGCCCAAGGGCTTGTCAAGAGAATGGCAAAGGGACAAGGACTAGGTCTGAGACAAGCCCACAACAGAGAGTTCAACTGGGGCAGAGGAGACAAAAGCCAAATAAAACACAGCTACAAAACCCAACAAACCCATCCCCTAGTACATGAGAGTTTAGCTACAGAATTGTTTATAGAATCATAGATGGCTTGGGTTGGAAGGAATTTTAAAGATCATTTAGCTCCAAACCCCTGCCATGGGCAGGGTCACCTACTAGAACATCTTACTCAAAGCCCCACCCAGCCTGGCCTTGAACACTTCCAAGCATGGGGATTAGGGAATTCAGCAGGATCCCCAACCTTGAGAGGGGAGAAATAAAACAAAACATAACTGAAACAAAGCCCAGCTTGTGTTGAGAAGACCCTAGCTCTGAAAATCCTGCCTGTCCTGCAGCTTTTCATCCAGGAACTCAAACTCATGAAATCCCACTTCTTTACCTTGGCAAGAGGAAAGAGTGGAATTAGAGCAAGCCAGCAGGGTTATCAACTCCAACCCAAGCCTGACCTCTGAGAACTATCCAAAATTCAGTATCCACCACCAGTATTTCACTGTTCTTCATCCAGAGACTCTGAAGCCGAGCACAGCTCACTGTGTCTGGATACTCTGGCTCTTTCATCATAAGGCTTTATCCAAGGAGAAAGTGGTGGATGGGGATTTTGTGTGGTCTGTGGCTAAAACAGATTTATGTTGCACATAACTCATCCTGGAATCATGGAATCATAGAGTGTCCTGAGTTGGAAGGGACCCACAAGGATCATTGAGTCCAACTCCTGACAGGACAGGACACCCCAAGAATCATCCCATGTGTCTGAGAGCACTGTCAAAACACTCCTTGAGCTCTGTCAGGGTCAGTGCTGTGACCGCTTCCCTGGGGAGCCTGTTCAGTGCCCAACCACCCTCTGGGGGAAGAACCCTTTCCTAATATTCAAAAATTCTGGGCAAGAAGATCTAGGAGGTCATGTGAACAGTTGGAAATTCCTCTCCTTGTGGCTTAACCCTGTGCTGAAAGCATGTTTCATCTCAGGGAAGGTGCTGAAGGTTCATACCAGCTGAGCTTCCTCCCATTTCTCCCGGTTTTCCTCCGATAAAAGATTGCTGAGGATCTGGACAAAATTCTGTAGAAGGGAGAGAAAAGAGGACAAAAGAGGTGGTCAGTCAAACACAGCCCAGGCTGGGAAGGACCCAGTGATGGGGGAGGAACATTTGAGAACCAGCCATGCTCCAAGGGGGTTCTCATGGTCCCATTCCCAAAGGGTCCCACAGCATTTCACAGGTCCCAAGGATGTTAATGACCAACAAGGCTTTTTTCCCAAGGCCTTCACTTTGACTACTGTATTTCCTAAAGGGTTGGATTGGGAATATGTCTTGTATTTATTACTGGTCGATGTCTGTCAGAGACTGGTTAGAAAAAGATGATCTTGCCTCACACAAGTTCTTTTCTATCCTATTTTCTACTATTTCTGTCATTTCCAATATATTCCTTATGATCCTCTTTGACCTGCTACCAGGCAAGAGAAGCAGAGATTGATCCAGAGGATGCTCTGCATGGCAGCACCTTTGCAGTACACTATGAGAAGGCAGGAAATTTAAGACTATTGATTTTTTCTCTAGTTTTTACCACTCTTTGCAGATCCTGCAGGATCAGTTTAATGTTTGAAGCCATGGGGTAATGACGCATCCCAAGGGGGTATCTTGTGGCTGCTCTGTGTGCAGCTGCTGAAAGTAAAACCCTGGTATGAGAAGGCCAGAGGACATTCTCCTGCATCAACATCCAGGTACCCAATGCCACAGGATCATTTTACCTCTAGTCATTAAGACTGAAATCCCTTCCAAATGATGTTCTCATATCAATTAGACTCCACAGTAAAGTGCTGTCAGGTTGAAACAGCTCAGAGTGACTTTGGCTTTCAAGTTCTCCAGTTTCTAAGCCAGGGAGAACAACCTTGAAGGGAGAGTTTGTTAATACAGGAAGACATTTGGAGAAAAAAATGCTCTGGCTTTTTATCAGTATTGCATCAGCTGCAAAGGAGGTGATCCAACCTGGAACCCTGTGCATACAAACACACCTCCAGTTAAGCCTTGGCCCCCAGGATGCGTGTCCCAGCTCACCTGGACATCTCCAGAGGTGGGGCTGTGATAAGCCCTACGGAAGATCTCTGTCATGTTCCTGAGTACGTCCATGGTGGACAGCAAGTCCCCGCTGTAGCTGGTCCCATCCTGGGAGATTTCCACCAGGTTCTGGAGCACATCTGACAGCCCATCTCCCATCAACCCACGCTGAGCCTTGGAAAGATGTTCCCTGGTCTGGGAAACAGAAAAGAGACGTGACAAACACTTTAAGGACAGTCAAAGTCAAGTTAATGAGCTCAGTGAAGGAATTGCTGGGGGAAGGCTTTTGACCTTCCTTCTAATTCAGAGTGCAGATGAGTTGAATCTGACAATCTCTGCTGGCCTGAGAGCCTCTGGTTTTCTTAAAATGATAGGACAGAGTGATAGATTCTGAAGTATATTCTAAGTGGTTCTAAAATGATAGAAAACTGAATTTTTTTGTTTGCCCACAAAGGAAAGGTTGTGTGGAGGTTCAGAAGAGATTATCTTACCACAGAGTTTCTTCTGCTCATAACCCAAGCCAGCTAACAAGAATATTTTTGCCCCCAAACCCTCTTTTCTTATAACTAATTTGGAATTATTTTAGGACAGACTGTAGCTTGTCCTGAACAGGAGGGCAGTTTTCCTAAAGGGAAACCACAGGAGACCATCAGAAATTCATCACAGCAAAGCATTTAAGATTAACAGAAAATGAGAAGCTTATTTATAAATAAAATAGTGATACGGTCACAATGATACTTAATGATAATGTGATATGAAAGACCTGGTAGAACCTGGATTCTGCCAAGATATGTTTTAAAACATCCTGAAAGGAACCATCCTTTGTCCGTGGAGTGCCTGTGCATCACAAGATAACCAGACAAAAACAGTAAGAAAAAATCAAGGCAGAGCCGGCATCTCCTTTTCACATGGAAATGTTCCTTTCCTTCTTTTTAGCAATTATAACCATGTTACAAGAATTTGGGACGATCCCAAATCTGCTGAGTGAGGAGTTGTTCTGCCTTACCATCATCTGTATGTTCCTGTAATCTATAGAAACACACTTGATGTATGTTGGGGGCTCCCAGTAAGCGATGCCTTCCTCATCTAAAATGCATCTTCGAAGGATCAGCCCTGAAAAATGAAAGAAACAAATATGGGAGTGAGGAAAACAGGATGAGAAGCTAAGAATTCATGGGGGTTGGTCTTTTCTCCCAGGTGGGAATCAACAGGACAAGAGGACACAGCTTCAAGTTGCACCAGGAGAGGTTTAGACTGGGTATGAGGAAAATTTTCTTCATTGAAAGAGTTGTCAAGCATTGGAACAGGCTGTCCAGAGAAGTGGTGGGATCATTGTCTCAGGAGATGTTCAAAAAACATGTAAATGTGGCACTTGGGGACATGGTTTAATGGTGGACCTGGCACTTCTGGGTTAAGGGTTGGTCTCGATGATCTTAGAGCTCTTTTCCAAACTTAACAATTCCATGGAGGTCACCCAGAACTGGTCAGTGCATCCATTCAGGCATAGCTACCGGTACAAAGGACATCAGAGGCACTTGCAGGTGCCTGAACAACCCATGCAAGCATGTAGGAGAAATTATTTTTATTACCTTCTCCTCCTGCATTTTATTATTGCAGGGCAGCAGAAGGAACTGGGCATGAAAACAAAAATTAACAGGCTGGCCATGGCTAGTCAAGGTGAAAGGAAGGGGCTTCTTTTCCTCCTGGCCTGGAGGACAACATTCTTCCAGGCTCAGGAAGCCCCACGAGCCTCCCCAGGTGGCTTGTTGTGGTACTTGCAACTAAACCAGGCACAGCGGCTTGTGCTGCCCACACAGTCTGGAGGAGAATAAACCATCCCTGCGGCAGCTGAAACACTCTGAGAGCTGCTCTCAGTCCTCCCCCAGGCCTTCCCTCAGCTCCAGTCTACAGGGGGGTTTGCAGTGATAATCACATGCCTTCGTGGAGGAAAACAAGAACTTATCAGAGAGGAAGAAGGGAAGGGGATCACCTCACCCAAGCCATCAGGGTGCAATTTGGAGAGTCTCTGAGGACCAGGTTTGCTGGGTCTGCTAAAGGGTTCAGTGACCTTTCTATGGATACAGCCTTTCTAGGACAGAATTTGGGACAACACAACTGTCCCAAGCTGATTCAAACAGAGTTGCAGGGTTGGTCTGTACCCAACCACCCCCCTCAAGCAAAATAAAGCCTTTAAATTCATTATTAACACTGCTGCCCATATTTCTGTTCCTGCCTGGGAGTGAGGAACATCCAACTGAGGACAAGTTTCAGCACCAGACTGTCTCCTGGAGCCTTCTCTGCCCTGCTTTCTAATCCTTAGGGACTAGACATGACACAGAGTCATAGTCACAAGAGAGAACACCTAGATGCCCAGATCCCATCACTTCATGCCCCCATGATCAGACCATCAACCTGAGCACCTGAATAAATGTTTAGATAGGTGCTGTGTTTTCTAAGCATAAGTGGACCGTGAAATTCAGGTTTTCCTGCTTTCAAATACCAGCTTGTTTATGGGCAGTGGAGAGAAATATAACCACCAAATCTAGAGATCTCTGACAAAGCCCCACCTGCTCTGCAAAGATGTTTGTAGTTAATGGGGAGAACACACCACAGATAGTCTTGAGTGCAAAGCTGTCCCAGGACTAGGCAGGAGGTGGATGGAAAGCACCTCAAATTGTCCAGTAGGAACCAAGATGTTGTCGTTAAACAGTGAAGGGCCACAGAAACCCAGAGAGAGTTAATTTAGCCCCAAAAGATGGGTGGGAAGTCCATCTGCTTGTCCTGTCCTCCCACAACCAGGTTCTCTTCATCCAGGAGGCAAAGGATGAGGAATACCCTGAGGATGGACCACGTCCCCATCACAGAGTCACCCTTACCAGTGGCATTGCGGGGACATCGGACAGCGGCAGCATCCCCTGCTGGAGTCTCCTTCCAAACCACAGAGCCAAGACTTTCCTCATCACAGATTTCATGGGGCTCTGCAAGGAGAGAAAAACTCCATTGTTAAAGCTTCCTCCTCAGCAAGGGCACGGAAAAGAGAACGGAAAGGGGAAACAGGGGAGCAGAATCTGGAGGGAACAGCACCTTGGTGTGAGCCAGGAGGTCTGGAGCTGAGCTCTCAGCTCTGCAGCTGCTCCTGCATGGCCCTGACAAAGCCATTTAAACCCTCTGGAATTTGCTCTGCTTGTCCGAAAACTGGGTATCCAACCATTCCAAGGATTAGCTCACTAATATCCATGGAACAACCTGGGAAAGGCCATTCACACATTTGCCTTGCCTTGTGGCAGCACTTTGCAAGAAAACTGCTGTTACAACACTCTACTAAGGAGTTTCATTTCTTAATTTTAATGGCAGATGTCCATCTTTTCTGGAGGAACCCCACAGCTTCAGACTCTACTTCTTCCATCCTTTAGGGTAGGGTGTATCTAAAACAAGGCTTGGCCTAAATCAATTACAGTAAGAATGAAGGAAAGAACAAGTAGATGAAAAAAAAAAAGGATGGACATATCCCCTGGATGGTCTTCATGCAGGTCCTCTGTCTGCTTCCATCTTGTGCAAGGACACAGGGAGAAGATCTGAGCACCAACAAGCTGGATTTGCATCAGCAGCTCATTTCCAAAAACTGCTGCAAAGTCCAGGAGACTGCAGAAATGTGCTTTGAGACATCACAGCAAAAGCTCTTTGGAAGGAAGTTTTCAGATGCTTCTGTCTGTGGGTGGAGCTGAGTTGGCCCCAGAGTTGATGTGATCCGGGAGAAGAACATTCACCACAGGAGACCTTTGTGCTGAGAAACTCATTACTTACAGCATGTAAAGCTAAGGGAGCCAAGAGGATGGTGTTAAAGCTATTTGTCACTCCTGAGGGTGGGGAGGAGAAAAAACTTGATTTAATAGTTTTTGATTAGTTTTGAATAGTTTTTATTCATTGTGCAGGTAAAAATACCGATAAAAAGGAAACTGAGTGAGTGCAAATAACTGGTCAGGACTTAACTCACTTCTACTTTGGGACTACCCAGAGCCCAGCCTGGCTGTGGGGGAGGCTCAAGCCGAAAATTATGGGCATGGCAAGTCCTGCTTCTTTGAAGAACTCCTACAAGACCCAACAAGCTGCCTGAACATCACTGCTCCTGCAGTCAAGCTCCAGGCCTGTGTGGCTCCAGCCCCAGCTGCAGTTCAGAGATGGATTCCTCCCCAGTAGATGCTGGGAATGAATAAGTTACACTCTCTGCTTGGAAACAGATGCTGCTTCCCCTGTTTCAAAGTTCCCTTGCGGGTAATCACTGTTGTAATGAAATCCTGGAGGGTAAGAGGGACCCCAGCTGTGCTCTCTGCGCACACAGAACTAGTCCCTGTGCAAACAGCTCATGACTTCTGTAGATAGGGCAGAACGTGGGTGGAAAGAGGCAGTTTTGCTTCCAATCTCTAGGACAGGGAGATTGAATCACCCAGCCATGACCAGCACACAGTCACCCAGAGAGCCTGTGGCAGAGCAGGGAGCTGAGTTCCAAGCTCCTTTCTTCTGGAGCTTTGATCCTCCCGTGGTTCAAAGGAGGGTTTGGGGTGTGGGGCTGGAGCTTCTATCACCACCCTTGGCTACAAAACAGCAGAGCACAGCAGAAAGCAGAGAGGGAGAATGATGAGATCCATGCTCCCCTTTCTCCTCTGCCGACCTGTCAAACATTCCTGGTCTCCTCACCCCTGCAGTGTCCCTGGGGACCGCTGAGGGATGCTGTGGCTCAGAGATGCTCTTTAAAAATACACTGATTGGTGGTGTCTTGCCAGCGAGTGCAGGAGCAATTCCCAGTCCAGGAGAGAATCATTTTATCCTTTCCTCCTTTCTTCCTTTTTTTTTTTCTTTTTGATGTTGCTTCACAACAAAATCCTTTTTACCAGAGTAACCTATTTGCACTGGGAGATTTTAATAACTAACCCAATTAAGTTCAATTCTTCTGTTCAAATCAAATCATGCCGGCATTTGGTACTTTCTGGAGAACAAATTGAGCGGGTTTATTTTTAGCCTCTGATGTTTCCCCACCTTTTCCTTCCCTTGCAAATTAAAAACTGCAGTGAGACCCTTCTGGTTGTGAACCCTTAGCAGGGCCCAGTCCCTGAGATGTGCCTTTTCCTTTTGAGCACTGCACAGGCATCAACCCCTGCAGGAAGAGAAGAAAAGATTGGGCTTGTTCTGTCAGGGCCCCAGCTGGCACACACTGAAGCTGAACTAAATCTGCATCACTCTGTAGACACCACCAGACAACCCTGTGCTAAGATTTTCTGTGGTGTGGGAGAGCTTTGTGGCAGAGTTGGAAGAGATTCTCACATGCCACTGCTAATTGAGAGGCACAGCTTGTAAGGAGAGGTGATGTCTTTTATTAGAGCAGAGCTGGAGAGAGTGACTGTGCTGTCACAGCCTCTCTCTCTGTTATCTCCGAGCTAAACGTGCTGGAACTTCCATGCTGAAGTTCTTTGGCTTTCATCTCTTTGTCTTCAGCAGTTGGTGAGGGAGTCTGAGGGTCAACTCGTCCTCCACATGTCAGATCTGCCCCCAGAAACATCTGCATCAAAACTGCTGCCTCCTGTCTTGTAGGGAGACACCCCCTTTCACTAGGAATGCCAGGATGCTGCCATGAGAATCTCTCCTGCCTCTCACTGAGCTGCTCTGACAATTAATTACCCTTTCAGTCAAAACTCACGGCCTGTTAGGATCGATGTGATCTGACTGCCAACATCACAAAGGCCATTGATTCCCCACAAGCAATATCACCAGGAGCTTCAACTCAGACTGAGAAAGAAAGTCAAAATGGTGCACAGGCCTTTTTTGGGGCTCTGGATAGTCTTTGAGAGACAGACAGAAACATTCCCACTTGTGTTTGCTCCTGCTTGGTTTTCACATTCAGCCCCAGGTTTTCCCCTGCCCTCTCTTGCCCTTCATTCAGCTTTTGCACTCTGGAGGAGGGGGAGATTGGGAAGGCTCAGACAGATGTGGACAGAGCTGTCTTTTTTATAATTTCCAGTGGTGTGCAGGTTTCCCAGAGGTAAAGGGTGGGAAACCACTGCAGCATCCTCAGTACTCAACTAATTCATGGACTCGAGACTCTGCTTTCAGTTTTTGCTACCAGTGTCTCTTTGCCTCTTGTGACTTTATGGCAATGAAAAGATGAAAACCACCAAGGTTGGACTGGTGAACTGACCAAATACTCACTAAATCAACATGGTTGCAATGGATGCTGCAACAATTAAGTCAAGACCTTGGTGTATCTTGTACCTACGTTATGTGTTGGCTCTTATGGGATCCCAACTCTTGTAGCATTCAGCTCTCTGACATGGAAGCCCTTTCCATAATACAAACTCCCTCTCCCACAAAGCAAACCACGAGGGGTCTGGGGTACCTACCAGGACACTTTCTGTCATTGCACTGCTTATACTCCTCCTTGGGACCCTGGCAAGTCTCTCCACCGAAGAAGGGTCCGTAGCACACACGGTCACGTCTCTGGGTTCCACCCCCACACGTGGCGGTGCAGCTGCCCCACACTCCCCAGGCCTGCCACTTCCCATCCACTGGAGACAAAAAAAACAGGAGAGAAACAGCCTGTTTAGTCCCAAACATAATGTGTAACCGAAGGAGGAGAAGTCCCAAAGTGGGCAGTGGAATGTAGGGTGAGTAGGGCATGGCTTGTGGGAAGGGAGGTCTCCTCCCTTGGATCTTTGCTTCTCAACAGACATTAAAACAAAGTGTGTCCTTTCCCATTGCATCAGCCCTTTCATAGTCAAAGGGTGTTTTTGTGTTCCTCCTCAGTGTCCTCACTCCCTGGAAAAACAGCCCTATCTCTCTCCTCAGGCTCACATTTGGGGCTGGGCTCATGAACACTCTCCAGGTGGGCAGGGATTCAACCACATCTGCCAAGCAAAGCCCACAGCTGGAGCTCAGTTGGGATGTACAATGTATGTGTGAAAATAGACCTTCCCAGAGAAGGTCTGGCTCAGGGGTTTAGAGAGACCAGCAGAGCCCTTGGGCAAAAAACCGTGAAGAAACATCAAATAAACCTCCCTCCAGCTGTTTCCATTGCACTGATGTTTCATGTGCCTTGGAAAGAGGTTTGGGATGCTGTCTCATTCAGTTGTATCTTCTCCCAGCATCTTTATGGATTCAGTGGAAATGTGACTTCTTTTACGTTAACAATGACATTTATCAAAATGCTACTTCTTTTACATTAACAATGGCATTTATCAAAGCACCATAAAAATGTTAATTAGCCCTCACAACAAGTCTGCAAGGTAGGGAAACCTCCTTTGCTGCAGCACAACAACTCAGTGACATAACTAGAACAAGGCCTAAGTCTGCTGCTTACTATTTGGGTTTCAGTTGTGAATTACTGCATCCCTTCTTTTGGGAGGGTGGGAGATCTCTGTCTTCTCCAAGAGGTACAAGAAAATTACGAAAGAAGAGGGACAGCACTGAATTCGGGGGCTTTCTTTAGTGATATTTTGTGCAGTGGAAAATATGACCTGCATTGCTTTGAGAGATAACTCTGAAATCAGTGGGACAACTTTGTCCTTTTTGAAGCCCCTTTTGTCTTTGAAATTCTCTATAAATTGCAAAGAAGGAGTGAGGTACCTAAACACCAAAACCCACTAGAGACCATGTAGGAAAGTTCAATACCTGTGCTAAATACTTCAGATGATGATGGTACCAGAGAGGACAGGGATTTCCTGAGCAAATAGTAGACCAGGATGAAGAGCTACAGGTTTCTATGCTCGTGGAGTGAAAAGAAGAGTATTTTGTCACCTAAGCAAGGTATGAGAAGAGCATAAAAGACCTGAGCTGTTTCTGGCTGTCCCTGTTCCCTCACAAAGGAGAGGAAGGGACTCTCCATCTCAGGACTGCAATCCTTCTCAAATCCATGGTCTAACAGGAAAGGAGCACGCAGGGACAGGCAGGGAACAGGCCAGGAGAACCACGCCAATAAAATTTAGTTCCTGATCAGTCTGAAAGGTTTCTAGTTGTTCAAGCCTTCTTTACAGGTCGGAATATTTTCCACACCAGCTCACCAAAGTGTTTCCATTAAAATGGCCTCTCCCAAGATTTCTGAAAAAAAACAAAAAACAAAAAACCAAAAAACAAAAACCAAACCAAACCAAACCAAAACAAAAAAAAAAAAGGGGGGAGCAAACTGCACCTGCAACTCTACAGAGCTGGTGCCAGTCTGAGAAACACAGATTTCTGGTGTTAGGTGTGCTCTGGTCTCTGCTTTAATTCTCATTGCTTCTCCTGCATGAAACTTCTCTGCTGGAGCTCGAGATCCATGTTATGAAGACAAGATGATTATTCCAAATGTAAGGTACCAACTACAGCAGCTGGGACAACAGAAGTTATTGTCCCTATTATTATTATCATTCTTCTTCTTCTTCTTCTTCTTCTTCCTATTATCCTTCTTATTATTACTATTATTGTTCTCATTATTATTATTTTAACTCAAAGATAGATGCGTAAAGTGACAAGTCTTAGATAGGCATAAATTAAAGCTTTATTGTTCCAGACCTTGTCACAGATAAGGTTCAAAGCTGAGATACAATGGAAGATGCTTCCCTGTTTGCTTCAAATATAACTGAGAGCCTTGAAACACTGACAGAAGAGGAACAAAACAAGAAGAGGAGGAAAGCTGAAGCACTCTGGAAGAGAAGGAAGGGTCTCACTGATAATTTGAGTTTTTTAAGATCAGCCTGAAAAGCTGATATCCAAGGTTACAAAAGACACACTCCCTGTGGGTAATCACTCACCTCTCTGGGGTCTCCTGGAGCATTTGCCAGTGATGGTTTTGATATCAGAGTTTTGAGATGTAACAAGAACTAATAGTTTTTGCAGCAGAATGTACCATAAAAACTACCTATAAGTGAGTCAAGTGATTCAAAAGGGCTAACCAAGCAAAGTAAAGAAACAAAAGAAGGGAACTGAGGCAGTTACTCTATAACCAGGTGTATTGTCTTCAAGAAGATCATGAGGCAGTCACTCAGAACTTTGGGGGCTCCAAACAGAAAAGATCACCAAAGACCCACAGTGAAGCCCCTCAAAGACCTTATAAGGATATGTATATATGTTAATAAGTGTTGGGAAATGTAATGAATATGTAATAGGAATGCGGGGAACTGAAAATGAATAATCATGTTGGTGCCTAAAATCAGAGAAATCATTCTCTGGACAATTTTGAGTACAGAAAGGTAGAAAGCAGCTCTTTAACTGTGGTGCCTTTGGTGCACAAAATATATTGCACACACCCACAGTACAGGCCTTTACAATTTTTATAATACCATCTAATTATAATATCTAGGCATTACCTCATTGGTTACACCCAGCCCCAAAACTGTCTGTCCCATTGTCCTACCCTCAGACACACCTCCCAGATTTGAGTCAGTGGTTACAAAATGACCACCCCTTCATCCCTGTCCTCCTCCTCCTCCTCATGTCTGTCCTGCGTGGAACGGCTTCAAGGCTTCTGAGTAGTTTTGACTTGGTTATATCAAGTGCTGTGCCCCTTGTTATGTCTTATTCTGAGTACTTTTCTCCAGATAAGCTGTTTTTCACCTTGCTCAAATCTTTGTCCGTTGGAATTTCGGCAAGGAATGTCAAACAACATTTTTGGAAATCTCGTACAAAGGTGTTAAAAGGTACTAAAGAGCTAAAAAAGTAGGTACTAAAAGGTACTAAAAGAGCTAAAAGAGTTATATTAAAGTTTTATATAATATAGAGTTTAAGGCATCAATGTAATGTTGACATAGAAGCTGTAGTGGAGACACCTCTGTGTGCACCTTGGTGAGCTGATCCCCAGGGCACTCTGGCTGTGCTGGAATCATTCCAGACTGTTGGAATCAAGGAATGCCTGGCTTCTGAAACTCACAAATTGTCTTAAAGGTTTCTTTTAAGAGAGGATTTTAGGCTGCCATGGTCTGTTGGACCCAAACCTCCCTATTACTGCCGAAAAGGGTGCAAGTCTTCCCGAAGGAAAACTTTACAAAAGAGAAAGGTGATGCAGGAGAGAGAAAAATCTTTGGTGACCAACCTGGGCACTGGCGCAGGAAGCAGTCCCTGGTCTCCACCCAGTGTCCCTGGCACTCGGCTCCGCCGTAGGAGGGTCCGTTGCACTCCCTGGTCCTCTGCTGGGTCCCGTTGGAGCAGGAGGCGGAGCAGGAGCTCCAGCTCGACCACTCGTTCCAGTTGCCGTCCACTGAGTGGCCCAAAGAAGGAAAATAAACAGAATGTGAAAATCGCTCCCTCTGGAAAGAGGAATGTGAAAGATGGTGCAGCCTGTGCCTACAGTGGATCAAGGCAGGGAGGGACAAACTGGAGTCAGCGAGAGAGAGGGTAAAGATCACCCAAAAAAAGTTTAGACAACATTGCAACAGTGGTTTGTCAGGATCCTCTGCAGCCTCCAGCTGGAATGTTTTGGTCTGACAGGATGCAAGTACCACAACATTCCCATTTTTATGTTCCACACCCCACAGAACACCATAACAGTTGAAATTATTGATATTACACGTTCCAACATAAAAGTTGAAATTATTGATGTTACACATTGCAACATAAAAGTCAAAAGTAATAATACTGCTGATCCCAACATAACATCAAAGCATGGATCATGTTTCCACTGAGCACTTTGAAGGAATCAGTACATTATCAGGACATTTCTCATTTGGGGCAATCAGGGTTTTTTTTTTTTAAGGAACCCGTTTTTCACCAAAGCAATGGATGAACCCACAGAGAAGGAACTTCCTCAAGAACCTAATGCTCTGTTTTTTTATGAAAGCACATGTAGAAAACTTCAATCACAGTGTTATCCACAGGAATCCACCCTGATAGCCAGGAAATGTGGGAGCAAAGGTGTGCTCCAACATGAGACCAGGAGCAGAGTGTGTGTGTGTGTGTGTGTGTGTGTGGTCAATGTACTTCTCTCACAGTTGAATTAACACTGACAGGTTTGATGTGTCTCTACACAGCAGTGTCTCTGATAATTTAATAGAGGAGGGAGGTTATGATGGGAACGGGGTTGGAGAGAAACAGGAATACATCTTATTAACGTGGTAAGGACTGAGGCATTCCCAAGTGTGGCAGTTACACCCTAATTGGTCCCAGATCGACAGATCCATCACCCACTCTGCTGTTCCTGCAGCATTTTTGCTCATTAGCAGCGGTCATCATGCTCTGTTTAGCTCTCATTAGCTGCCAGGTCTCACTCAGAAATACAACCTGAATCCCTGAAAAGTCTGAATTCCGGCTCAAAGCACATTGCAGCTCATTTGTTGTGGGTTTTTTTTTTTTTTTTTTGGCTTTGTTTACCTGTCCAAGGAAAATATATGCAAACTGGTCCCCTGTGAGATCTGCAAGGACTCCATCAGCCCTGGATAATCCCCATTGCAGCTGAGCAGCTTTTTGTTTGCAAAAACTGAGTAAAAAGAATGTCAAAATCCGTCCAAACGAACAACTATTAACTCAGAGGGGCTCAGAAGGTGTGAAAAATCAGGCAGGCAGAAAAGTACTTCCAAAAGGTGCTCGTTTTTAGCAATCCAAGATTGATGTTTTTATTGTGCACAAATTCAAGGCATCGTGCCAGTGCTTATCAATCCCGAAAAGGGGAAACGCAAGTTGAGGTGTCTGATCATTTCTCTGGAAATGATCCAAAACCCCACAAAGAAGGTCCTACCCAGTATAAATTAGAGTGGCTTTTCTGGCTGAAGGTAGTGCTGTTAAGTTTCCATGAACTGATCGTAGAATCTAAAAATGGTTTGAGTTGGAAGTGACCTTTAGAGATCATCCAATTCTAACTCCCTGCCATGGGCAGGGACACCTTCCACTAGCCCAGGTTGCTCAGAGCTCCATCCAGCCTGGTCTTGAACACTTTCAGGGATGGGTTAGCCACAGCTTCTCTGGGCAACCTGTGCCAGGGCCTCCCCACCTTCCCAGGGAAGAATTCCTTCCTAATAATGACAATGTCTGCCCCTCATTAACATTCCCCTGCGCTGGAAAACTGAGATTGTATTTATCACATTAAAAGTATCATTGACAAAAAAAGGTGCATTTATCAACAAAAACTGCATTTGCCAAAAAAAAGGTTGAATGATCCAACAGCCTCCCTGCTGATGGGGCAGTGGTGATGGGCTACCACAAGTGCCAGCATTTGGAGGTAGGAAAATAAAAGAGCTAAACCCATAATTTGGTCATTCAGTGGGGGATAGAATCATAGAACTGTAGCATATGCTAAGTTTAAAGGAATCCATCAGGATCATTGAGTCCAACTGGCCTGGCACAGGACACCCCAAGAATCCCACCATGTGCCTCAGGGTGTCGTATAAACACTTCTCGAACAGGTAATTTTATTTAATTCCTTTCTTTTTTTTTCCTTCCTTTTATATATTTCTTCATTTTGCTTATTTCTTCCTTTTATTTATTTCTTCCTTTCATTTTTTTTATTTGGCAGGTTATTTATTTAATCAGGTTGTAATTTCAGAGACGTTTTAAATAATGGAGGAACAGAGATGGCCACCAGCCTCTTGCACTTGATGGAAAGATGCCTCCTGGCTGAGATGCTGAGGGTTTTCCATCCCAGCCACAGCCATTCCCACCACAGTGTGAGTCTATCAGAAACATTCCTTGGAGTCTGGCTGTGCAGAGGCAGGCATTGTCTACCTCCTTTTCTCCCTCTTCGAAGGACTTGGGGCTCGGCCTGTGGTTTCCACTGCTCCTGAGGAACAAAGGCTCTGTTGTCCCTGCAGCAGAGCGTTTTCATCAGCCATGGTAATAAATCCTCGGAGCAGGGTGGTAATGAGCAATGTGAGTGCCTGGTGTGACAAACACCCATTGTTGTGCTTCAGTGATTCCCCCGACGCCGCTCTCATTTGGCACTGCCAGGCCCCTGATTGCCTTTGTGGCATTAATTAGAGCTGAAGCCTTTGCAGTTTGGGCTGCTTGTCTTTTCCACCGCTGTTTCATTCCACATATTTATTTGTATTTAAATTAATTATGGATCAATGTTAACTCAGGGTATGCTTTGTTGCCCAAGCGGTGCCAGCTCTGACTTCTTCAATTTGTCTTTCTTATGACAGAGTCGATTTTGTGTCTGGGATGTTCTCATTCCAAGTAGAGTCTTCTGGGCAGCGGCCAAAAAATCCAAGGATAGTTACTTGGAGCGAAAACTCGATGGGAAATGCCAGGAGGCTTCTCACTAATGTTTTCACAAAGTTCTCATCACTCCCACAGTCCCTCTCCTCCTCCAGGGACATAATAATGTCTCATAATGATTCTCATTAAACTGGAAAAATGTCAGTTGACATTACCCTGGGAGAGGGAGGGAATTTTGGGGAGGTCCCTCGTGTTCAGATGGTGTTCACCAGGACAACCAGAGTTAAATTAAGGGGTGCTCTGCTGTAAATCCTGGGCCAGTCTGGTTCAGAGGAAGGAAGCCACAGGAGCACAAATGGATTTCCAGGCAATAAAAGTAATTTCATCTTGAGGTTCTTTCTGGTGTTTCAAAGCAAAACTCAGGGAGAGGCATCTGGACTTGAAATCTAGGGGCAGGGAAAAGGTGCTTAAAAGTATTTGGCATGGAAGGTTATCAGGAGTTTTAGTCCATCTCACCACCCAAAGCAGGATCAGCTACAGAGAAAACTGCAATATATAGTGAATTAAACTTGCATATACAGTGAATTAATGCACATATATTACAAGCAAGTAGAACTATTAATTAATTCCAGCACAACAGTAAGCACAGGCAAAATAACTTTAAACCATTCAATGGAGAGAACAGGTGAGAAGCTTAAGATGGCCTTGGAAATAGATCCAACCCATGTAATGTGTCCTCTGGGAGAGATTACAGAGGGCAAAAGTGAACCCAAGACAAGTCTGAGCTGAATAACCCCAGAAAGCCCCTTTAGGCTGCTCCTTCAATGAGCCCTTTCCTGAGAGAGGATCCTCCTGGGGACAGTGTAGGCTGGGCAGTATTTCCTTGGAGTCACCTACAGAGCTGGATGGGCTGTGCAAGGGTGTTTTCAGAGCCGGGGAGACCTGCTGGAGGGGGCAGACTTTTAATCTGTCACTGTCCTTACCTGGGCAAAGCGCGATGTTGCAGAACTTGGTTTGCTTCTCGGGGCCCTCGCAGGGGTTGCCCCCGAACTGGGGGGGTTTGCAGGTTCGGGTTCGGTCCCTGTAGCCTCTCCCACACGTGGAGGAGCACAAGCTCCACGGAGACCACTCGTCCCAGGTGCCATGAACTGCGGGGGAAGCAGAAGGAATGAGTTCCCTTTCCCAAGGGAGGGCCCAAGGAAGCGAGTGAGTGCCACAGGGCACAGCATCTTCCCACCCGGAACGCGTGGGAAGGCCGAGAACAAACCAGCCCGAAACTGTGCAAGGGGAACATCGTGTAATTTTTGTGCCGTGGTTTTTATCGACACCAAGTGTCTGTTACTTTCCAGTCTTTGACATAGATCACAATGCAGTTTTAATTCACCCTGATTTTTCTTTTTTAGATTTTTGAGCTAAACCATCCTTTTTTTGAGTAAAATATGAGAGGTACGAGGAAGCAGCATCGCTACCATTTTTTCACTTCTTACCCTTATTTCTGTCCCTCAACACATTTTCGCACTGAATTGTCAGAGGCTACAACATTTTCAATCTTTCAGGAAAGCTGTAGTTGATTACTGTCATAGGTCAGTGACACCACAGGGGCAAAGCTAGGGAGACTTGGAAGAGTAAAATGGAATGGGTAACAAGCTCCAACAGTGCTCAAACCATCACTGGTAACTCCTGGAATTAAAAATCTAGCCTATATTAATCTAATCTAATTAGCCTGCTAATTTATACCAATCTAATCCTCTCCAATCTAATCTAATCTAATCTGGCCAAGATATTTATGGAATTTTAGTCACTGTAATCTTTAGAGACCAAATGTTATAAGAATGCACTGATCTTTCTGGAGAGATTTCATCCCTTCCAGCTTTACTGGAAAAGCAAATGCCAAATCAATAACGTTTCAGGAAAAGAAGAAACCCCAAAAAACAGGTACTTTTCCAGTCCTTCATCAGTTGCCAACAGTGACTGATGCCCCAGTGCCAGGAAAGGGTGTTCCAAGCTAATTGTCACCAGGTCTTGAGCATGATAAGGGATAACTAGAGAAGGAAATAGAGGAAAGAACATGGATGGTGTTTTCAACACAGGTGGTGGTTTCACCATTGTAGAATTGCTTTTGAACACTGATGTTGCTGGTCAGGAGACACGAATAACACAATTTAACAGCATAAATTTTCCAAATAATCATAGAATCATAGAATAGTAGAATGGTCTGGGTTGGAAGGGACGTTAAAAACTGTCTTGTTCCAACCCCCTGCCATGAGCAGGGACATTTTCCACTATCCCAGGTTGCTCCAAGTCCCATCCAATCTGACCTTGGACACTTCCAGGGATGGGGCAGCCACAGCTTCTCTGGGTGAGCTGTGCCAGGGCCTTCCCACCCTCCCAGGGAAGAATTTCTTCCTAATATCCAATCTAAACTTACTCTCAGTTTGAAGCCATTCCCCCTTGTCCTCTCACTACATGCTCTTGTAAAAAGTCCATCTTTCTTATAGGCTCCAGTCTCTCCAGAAAGTACTATTTCATCAAAATTGTGGGAGAAGGAGCATGAAAACAGAGGTGATGGATTTCTCAGTTCATCACCTTCCAGCATCCTGAGTGTTTCATGCTGATTTTGCACTGGTTGTTGCTGATGCCCAGTGTTGGAATCTGAGCAACTGAGTCACCTGGTGCTTCTCTTTCCCAAAACAAAACAAAAAGAGGAGGAAAGTTAAAGCACTGTGGAGGCAAGGGAAGGGTCCCACTGATATTTTGTTTGGGTGTTTTAAGATCGTCCTGAAAAGCTGATATCTAAGGTGGGAGAGGCACATCCCCTGTGGGTAATCACTCTCACAGATGAGATCTTTCCATCTCTGTTCCACATTGGAAATATCCCAAAGGACACCTGCCTTTCAGGTGTCCTATATTCCTGGATTTTAGACAGCATGGAATTTTCCATACCAGGTGCCCATCTCATGGTTCTTGGTCTAACAAGGGTCTCTGTATGAGGCTTTAAGGTACAAAGAGAAGGAAGAGGGAACAAAAAAAATCTTCCTTCAAGAGTCATAGAATGGTTTGGACTGGAAGGGACCTAAAAGATCATCTAGTCCAACGCTCTGCCATGAACAGCAGCACCTTCCACTGGATCAGGTTGCTCAAAGGCCTGTCCAACCCTGGCCAGGGACGTGGTGGCCACAACTTCCCTGTGCCAGTGTTTTCCAGAAGTATCACAGTGGAGACACCACAGGCAGCCAATCCCCCACGAATCTCCCTTCCCCTGGTGCCCACAGATACCTGGGCACACGGCAGAGTTGTTGCACTGTCTCTGCTCCCGGAGGGGGCCACTGCACTGGGTGCTGTAGGAAGACGACACGCAGAACCTGGTCCTGGTCTGCCAGCCCTCCCCGCAGGTGGTCGAGCACACGCTCCAGGGGGACCACTCCTCTGCTGCAGGGTCACCTGTTGGGGTTGGAGCAGAAGGTGAGGATCCTTGGCACCTGGATCTCCAGGGCAGAGATTCCCAAGCTGCACTTCACCGGCTGTCGGAGGTCTGCGGTGCTGAGCAACATGTCCTACAGGTGGTGTGAGAAAGGTGAGGGTTGAGAATGGGCTAAAGGGTTTTTTTGGGGGGTGCTGTGTAGAGCTATAGCACACAAACACACAAGAAATTAGGGAAGGGTGTTGTGGAAGCATCAAGGGCAGGACAAGCTCCACCACTGATAACGAGGTGGAGTAGCCACTGAGGAACCACGTGGGATGTGTAACACCTACTGAGAGCACTAATTAAGCAACAGTGATTAGTCAGATACAGTAAATGTGTCCATAAATTGATCAGTTTAAGGATGTTGTGGAAGCATCAAGGCACTGAGGAGGACAAGCTCCACCACTGATAACGAGGTGGAGTAGCCACTGCAGAACCATGTGGGATATGTAACACCCTACTGAGAGAGAGTACTAATTAAGCAATAGTGATTAGTCAGATATAGCAAATGTGCCCATAAATTGATCAGTTTTAAGGATTTAACTCCTTTCCCTGCCTTCTCACAGCCCCTGCCAAGGCAGATTGGCAGAGGAAGAGCAGACAAAGGAGAAGATGACTGTTCCTGAGAAGGGTCAGCTGGAGGAATCCCACAGAATGTTTTCAGCACCTCCTTTGCCTGTGGAGACCTGTTTTGAGCACGTGACAAAGGACAAGGCTGACTCTTCCAGGGCATCACACTGTCCCTGTCAACTGCTTACCTGTTGGGCAGCATTGGAAAGGAAACTAAAAATACCCCATTGAGCAAAAAATGAGAGTGAAAAGCAATGAAATACAGTCCCTTTGTCACTAATATCCCTGCTGGGGGTGCTTCAGCAGGCCACAACCTCCAGATAATTCACCAAAAGTGTTACATGGGCTGGGAAAGGACAGTTTTCCATTAGTTTTCATAGGCATGAGTCTACCCTTGACAAAATGCCTTTCTTCCCCACACGAAAACAAAAGCTGGCTCTGTCTCATTTAATTAAGCCATGCATTGTTTGGGTTCTCAGCTTTTTCATGGATTACTAATAATTACACATGATAAACCTGGAATGCAACATTTGGTACGTATAGCACACAGGCATATGGCACAAATAAACACCAGCACATCTCTGATGCGTCACAGAGGGGCATCCCCTCCTAGCAACAAGTTCCTCAGAGCATCAGACCACACTGTGTCACATCCCAATCAGATGCATCTGGCAGACTATGGATGATAAAAGTGTCACAGCACTGGGTGAAACAGGTAAGCAGGACTTCAGGGGTCATACAGCACAGCCTGGGCTGCACCCAGCACTTGGATGTGTTATCCCACACCACCACTCCATTCCCAGAGAAAGTTGGGCCTCAGGTTCTGTATTAAACGGACCAGCTGCAACATGGAGCATGAAAGAGGCTCTACAGTTGGAGATCTCAGCCTGAGATCTCGGTGAGAGTTATAAACCAGCTGCACGAAAAGCAGAGTCAGGACAGAGCTGTGATGGTGATTAAGGGTTGGAGACCACCAAACTGCCCAATGCTGCCTAAAGCTGTGCATGTCTGGCTTTTTCCTCGAGGTGGTGTCTTTTCTGTGTGCTATGGAATTTTATACAGGATTTCAAGTGTTTGTGTCCCTCATCGAGATACTCGTTGGGATTTTGGGTAGTTATCTACATTGTCTGGTTTGTGTCACGTTTTTCAGCACGTCTGCTTTGAATATCTCCTGTCCTTCAGGCTGTTGGGAATTAAAAATATGCCCACTAATTGCAGCCTGGGGAACTAATACCTGCCTGTTGAGGGGGGAAAGTGTAGAGGAAGACCTGACTTTACTGTAAAATGAACAGACTTTTATTCCTTCATTTATTGGCTGGAGATAGAAAGAGGAGGAGGTGAGGATGAGTCTTTCCCTACGTCATCTATGCCATTGCAATGATAATAATGAGATTTGTTGTTCATTAAGCCAAAGTTGCTCAATACTGTTCTGCTTTTAGGTTTTATTCCATTAATCTGCCCGGTTGTTTCCAGTTAGAGGGATGTTATGGACCACTGGTCTTTATCTGGGATGTGTGGGAGACAGTGTGTGTTTTGAGGCTTTGGGGCTTCAAGAAAACATCACTCCCATATCCTGTTTCTCAGGTATTAGATCTCCTGATATACAGAGATCTGCATTTCCATGGTAATTTTCCTACCTTTCCAGTAAGGAACTGAATCAGCTCTGTCAGACAGACAGTCCTGGGGTGCTCCAAGTTCATCATGAGCAAATTTCCTTTGTGGTACCATCATTTCAACACTTCCCATTCAGAGTGGCCCAGACTCCAGGAGATCCCTTCTCAGTCCACAGATCCCAACCATTCCTGCTACCCTGCCTGCTTGGATGCTGCATGGACAGACAATGTCCTTACAATTCTTGTTGAACACCCTTCCTCAGCCTTGAGCAACCTCCCCAGGACCTGCACCCAGAGCACCGAGGGCACCCAGTCCCTTAATGACAATGATCTGGGGGATTTTGGCAGGGAAACACTCCCATTTTGTGCCCCAAACTCTTTCTGGGAGGCCAGAGGTGGGACAAAGGGAGCCTGCAGAGACACAGGGGCCTCCTCTGTCAGCAGCTCATGGCTTGGAGAGCCCATCACCCCAACCATCCCACCACCTCCCCACTCACACCTGGGTGGGGTTTTGCAAACACCACATTCAGACAAGAGTTACTGTCTCAGTAGAGGAGTGAATGGCACCTTTGAACCAAATTCCACCTCTCCTGACTCTTTCTTTTCTTTATTACTTCTGGCTTTTGCCCTTTCACAGCAGAAATAACTGTGCTTAGAGGCAAATCTCCTCAATTATCATTTCTTGCATTGCACCAATCCCTGGCTTTTAAACCCATAACACAGTTTACTTTCCAAGTGCTGGTTACTCCCTGAGTTTGGTGTCATTTTGAACTAAGCAATTTATCTCAGTCTACTGGGACATTACACCCAGACTAAGTCTCAAGCCTTGCAGAAATTTAACTAATTTTCAAACCATGTGAGACCCAGTTCTGGACTCTTTCAAGCATGAGACAAGATCTCTCATTCTCCACTCAAGAGGAGCAGAATATTGCCCATCATCAAAACTGTGGACGAGAAGAATTTCTGCACTCCTGTGGGTCAGATGGCAGCAAATACAAATTCCTGGGTGAAACATATTCCAATTAATCATCCCAGAAGTGGATTTTGGCTCTGTAATGGTGTAATGGCAAGAAGTCTACCATGCTTATTAGTCTTGAAAGCCACCTAGTACAGCTCAGTGCTGTCTTATAATAGACCTGCCAGAGATTATAGAATCCTGGAATGATTTGTCTGGAAGGGACCTAAGAGATCATTTCATTCCAACCCCCAGCCATGGGTAAGGACACCTTCTGCTAGACCAGGTTGCTCCAAGCCCCTTCAAATGTCCAACCTGGCCTTGGACACTTCCAGGGATGGGGCAGCCACAGTTTCTCTAGGAAACCTGTTCCAGTGTCTCACTCCCCCTCATAGTGAAGATTTTTGCTAATATCCAATCTAAATGTATCCTCCTTCAGCTTAAAGACATTGCCCCTTGTCCTATTACTCCATGCCTTTATGCAACGTCCCTCTCCTGCTCTCCCGGAGCCCTTTAGGCACTGGAAGGGGCTCAAGGTCTCTCCAGACCCTTTTTTTCAGCAGGCTGAACAGTCACAGCTTTCTCAGCCTGGCTCCAGAGCAGAGGTGCTCCAAGCCCCTGATGCACTCAACCAAATTTGTCTCCACCCCCAGAGGAGAAGGGGCCACGCTCTGCCCTCCATCATGATGTGCCTGAGAAAGCTGCCCCTGCAGGGTTGACCTTTGCTTAGTCCTGTAATGCTCCAGACTAGGTTGAGGATGACCAGGAGCGTCCCAAAGGATTTTACAGGGGTGAATACCCCACCTGAAGTAGGGAGATGGCCCTTGTTGCTCCCACAAATCCAGCTGCAGCAGCTGGAGAGGGTCCAGCAGGTGCTGCAGAATGAGACACGCTGGATGTCACTGCACAGGGATGTACCACTGCAATCCAGGATCCTTTCCAGCTCCTAGCCAGCCCTGAGAGTAACTGAGCTCAGCTGGCTGTGTGTCCCCATCAGTGCCTGCAGCTTCTCCATGACACTCCTTCCCTGGGCACTAATGGAGCAGCACATCCCTGTCATCCCTCTGCCAGGATCACTCTTTGCCATGGCCTTGTCTGTCAATCTGACATCTCTCCCCGTGCAAGACACCTCTCTGCTCACAACCTGCTGCTGGTAAAGTCCTCCTGGAAGCAGTCTGAGCTGGGAGGGCCCGTGCCAGGGACCTGCTGGGCTGGATCTCGCTCTTGTGCTATTGCTGAGAGAGACACGTGGGCAGCAGCAGCACCACGGCTGTGCCAGAGCCTGTGGGCCAGCAGGACCTGGGTACCAGGGAGATGAAGGGCTGGCAGGAGAAAATGCTGCTCTTCAACTGGGCATTGCTGTCCCCTTGTCCCTAGTCCTTTATGGATGGCATGATTTTCGTATTTCATATTTTTCTAGGTCTTGAGCTGAAGTGATGTGGCTTATCCTGTACAAACTGGGCCCACAGCCAGGGAAAGTGTGGGCTTTGCTTTGGCATCCCCAGCTAAAGATTCCCTCTAATCCCTTGCTGGATTGTACCTTCTGACTGGTTTCTACATCTCCATTCTGATTTCCTGGAACAGCTTGGCTGTAGCTGGTGCTCCTGGGACAGTGATAGGAATGTGGGAAGCTTTGCAGCAGGACAATGCACATCTCCCAGCTCATGCTGCATTCGGGGATAGCACAGCCTAAGCCAGCCATGCTCCAGCAGTGCCCACCATGGCAGGGAGTTAACAGGGATGTCAGTGAGCCCAGATCCAGCATCCAGCTGCACAGCAGGAAGAAATGCCAAGCTATGAAGCTGATGGCAGAGCTACAGGCTGGAACAGAGCTCTAAGGAAGCACCTGAGACCAGGCAGAGTAGGAACAACAAGGGACATCACAGGACCTGCCTTGGAGTGCCCTCCCTTCCTCCAAGTGTGACTGAGAGATTAAGCTGAGATTCACCAGATTATGGTGGTGCAAACGTCCTCCCTCTCCTGCAGCCTTTTGCCAGCTGCCACAGATCCTCCAGACAGTGGAGCTGCTCCCACTGGAGGGAGCAGTTTCTGTGTAGGGTAGAAAGAAAATTCAGACCACTCCTTGCCTTGTGTTGAAAGCCACAACCCCCAAAATTGCCTGATCACACCCAGAGCCTCCACCCCACGCAGAGTCCTGACACTGTACCATGGCAAAGTCCTGCTGGGTTGGATGGAGCACAGCTGACCTACACCAGAATAAAACCCACTCTCACTTATAATGAAATCACTTCTCTGAAGCCTTTCTAGAGAACAAAATGCTTGCAAAGTCACTGGGCAATGACTGTGACCTGTGGCCAGGTTCAGCACACCTTGCTTTGTCCAAGACCCATGATGTCTCTGTCAGGGAATGAAGCCATGAAGGGAGAGCACAACACCTTTCCAGATTTAATCATAGAATCATAGAATGGTTTGGCTTGGAAGAGACCTTCAAGATCATCTCGTTCCAAGCCCCCTACCCTGGGCAGGGACACTTTCCACTGGACCAGGTTGCTCCAAGCCCCATCCAACCAGGCCTTGAACACTGCCAGGGGTGGGGCAGATTGGAGCTAGCATAAATCTAGGTCCAGTTCATTCCCATCTTCCCATACCACGCCCTCTGAGACTACTACATATTATACCCCTTCTGTTGCAGAAGGGTGGAAGGTCCTGCTGCAGAGCTTACAAGTCCTTGCACAGCACTAAAGGCCCAGTGACAGAGGAAATCAGTCCTGTCCTCTCCTACACTCAGTGTGAAGGCATGACAAGGACATCAGTGAAGAGGCTGCATTGCAGTAAGGTCAGCTTTGGCTTCATGAACCATGGCTGCTTAGATAGTTCACACAAAGCGGTGGCTCAGATGTGTGTGGCTCAGGCAGTGGGACGAGGAGCAGTGTGTGAGATGTATGGCCTTGTTGGGGTTTTGTCTAACCCTTTCTGCTTTCTCTGGCTGATGGCACCAACACAAAACCCTGCAGGGCGATGGAATGGGAACAAACTGGGTGATGAGTGTTTGTCCAGGGGAAACTCTCCCCCACAGTAACCTGGGGGGAAAAGTGATGGTTAGAGGGGTCATTGAAACAGTGGAGAGAGTCAGTGAGCCAGTTTGTGCAGGGAGCAGGCAGTGCCAGCTCCAGGGGCTGCTGGGGGAGGTCAGAGCTTACCTATTTGAGGTGCAGGGTACCCGTAGTGCTGCAGTTCGTCAGGGTCCTCTCGCTTTCTGTTATCTGTGGACCTCAGCGATTGGCTTCTGGAATTATAGCGTCCATTGGCTATGGCAAGGTAATGGGTCATGTAAATACACCTTGGTTCACTCTGCAAGATCTTTCACTACAAAGGTTACACGTATAAACAACAGCCACCTGTCACCACCACCTGCTTGCCAACCCCAACACCCCTGGCCACCAGTAATTCCCGAAATTTAGCACCAAGCCAGCCTGAGAGACTCGGGCTGGGTGGCAGCTCAATCCCTTCTTTCTCAGTGAGACTTGGGACCATGCAGAGTATGATCCCTTATGTCTGGTCTTGAATTGCAATGATTTTCTAGGGTGCCTGTACTCCTTGCTGCACTTGTGGAGGATTTATCCTCTTCAGATGTGCTGGCACTGAATCCCACCATCCCCAGTAGTGCTCTGAGGTTTATGGTGGTGACTGGCAGTACTTTGTGGTGGAAAAATTCTGTCTTGCAGTGAAGATCTACTTAGAAATGCTCTGTAGAGGGATCAGAAATGCTCTGAAGAGGGACCAGAAAATGGTGAGTGGAGCAGGCAGGTGAGGGCAGGTGAAAAGGAAAGGGATAACTCAAAAGGATGTCTCCTTGTCAGACTCTATACCCTATCACCAGCAACAAGGAGAGATGAAAGTCTGGCATCAACAAAGTCCCAACAGAGCTGTGGCTGGGAACCTTTCTGGCTCAGTGGAAGAGAGGAACTCCTGATCCTTGTGTCCTAACTGAAAATCTCCCACGGAGACCACGGTGTTGAGTTCAGAAGGTAAATAATGTATCCACTGTGAATCAAAGGCATTTGACTCCTAACCGACAGCTCTCACCCCTGTTCTTCCAAAGCCACACTCTGCCAGCTTTCCATTTTCATCCCGTGTGGATCAGCCCTGAATTTGCTACAGGGGAAACTAAAATTCCCATTCTCCACGTTATTGGGTGTGTTGCAATCCTGACACGTGCCCTCCCTAGCAAAGAGAGAAACAACAACCAGATCCCACCCACCAGTAGTGCCTGCTGTAAATCAGGAGAGCTCAGCTGACTCCACTGGAGTCACATGGAACAGCAGAGAGCAGAGCTGAGCCCCAGTGATCTGAGATCTGGCAGCCAATTTGTTTCCAAACAGCAAGTACCAGACAGAGGACCTTTTCCCCCCAAGGAGGTAAAACAATCAGACATCTTTTCAAGAAGTATGAACTGCCAAGAGATGAAATGGTGACAAATTTGACCCCGGAACCCTGAGAAAATTAATAAAGGTTAATGAAGCTTCAGTGTGGTGGCAGGAGTCTTTATTGCCATCCAAAAAGGGAAAGCAGAGGAGGGAGAGGAATGATTCAGAGAGTCCCTGCCAGGAGCCTTATATTCAGCAGTTTGGATCATGGAAGAGTTTGTGAAATAGTATTATTTGCCATCACTGTTGCCTGAGAGCAGGACTTGAGGAATGAAGGAACTGGACACGCCGACTCCTCCAAAACTTCCCAGCACTGACTAGTTGCTGGCTGGAGGGGAGGGATGAGGCAGTCACCCCCCTGCCATCCTGAAGGGAAAGACACTGATAGTTGGTATCAGGACCACAGACATCCTGGAATTTGCATACACCTTGTTTTTATATGGCTTTTAACTGGAATAGAAAGGTCTCAAATACTATGTTTTTTTAGCTAAAAATCATGGGACTTTCCTGTGCAAGATTCAATTAAAAAAAACCCCAACCTCTAACTAGTTTTCCAATACCCATTTTTTTGTTTGCTTCGGAGAGAACTTAAATTAGTCCCATATTTGGGACTTCTTACAAACCCTGCTCCATTCCCACCACCCATCCCTGGCTATACCCACCCACCTTCATCTGCTCTGATTTGCATCCTCTTCAGGAAATCTCACAAACCACAAGTGCACACAAAATCTCCACATGCAGCAAATCCCAGAGGCTTCCCACAGACTTGTTTAGGCTGGGAGGAGAAAGTGGGGCTGGGCATCAAGGAGGAGATGTGGAGCTTGGATGGCTGTGCCAGCTGCCCAGAGCAAGGAAGGTGACAAAGAAAATTTGGGACTGAGTATCTCAGAAGCAGTCAGTGAGCATGGATGGATGGATGCACAGAGAGATAGGACACAGGACAGAAGGAAGGAAAAATAAAAGAGACACTGGCACCCTGAACCTCCTCTCACCATTTATTTGGGCCCCTTGTTACTGACATCTCCTAATGACTGAGCTCGATTCTGAAGGAGCAGAATGATTTCCCTTGCTCCTTGACAGATATGATGAGTCTGCACTGCTATTTCTCATCCTAATTAAAGCCAATCAGGCCTAGTGGCTGAATGAATGACCCTTCCAGCTTGTCTCAAGCCACCCCCAGGAAAAACGGCCTCCAGACCCATGTCAGGGTTGCTCCACTGCTGCAAGCAGCCTGTCCCCCCCTGGAAAAGGGGATGCAGAGAAGCAAATCTGTCTCTAACACCAAATATGGCTTAGATTTAAACTGGACAGTTTCCTTGAGGAATAGCAAAAATCAACCCTGGTTCCAAAGAAAGCAGGGAGATGTCAGGTCCCTCGTGAACAAGGGGAAGTTGATGCAAGTGATGCTTTGCTGTGGGTTTTATGCACCTGAACTTTTTGGTGTGGAGGCCAAGAAACAAAGGCAGTGGGGAACTGGCTGGATTTCAGCAGCCTGCTTCCCACAGCAGTGTCAGTAGAGAGGAGTAATTCCAGGATCAAAGCAAGGCCTGGACTTGATTTACATCCCAGCTGCATAAATGCCATGAGGAAGGCACAGGCAGCACCTTGCAACACAACCAAAGGGAAAAAAAATAGAGACTTCGAAGTGCTGTGGGCCAAGGTTTTAACATCCAAGCCTGTCTCACAAGAGCCACACACTCTGTGCTCATGCCCCAAACAGGAGAGGCAAAGCAAACAGCAGGATCATGAAAATTATCCAGGCAAGGTGGGATGGTGGGAATGAAAGGATGAACCAGAGCAAAGAGTGGAAAAGGATTATTAAAAAAAAACCCCAGACATTCAAATGGTATGAATGAATCTCAGTGTAATAAAATTGAAAGGAAAGGTGGTGGTTGTGGAGTTTTTGGGGCCTCTGGCAGCTGCTAAAGAGTAAATTAGAGAAAGACAGAATCAGCAAGAACCCCTAAAAGCCAAGATCTTAGTGGATGTAGAAGAGGGTCATTTTGGAGGCCACTGGATATATGGTAATCACACCAACAATCACCCAAAGTATTTTGAACATCTGAGACTTGTGAAAATGTCTCTGGGTGAGTTCTGGGACCCTCAGATATGAAATATCTGAACCATCATTGAAAGAGGGGTCAGGGTGAAGTCTCTGCAGCAGCAGCAGGTATCTGTAGGATCTATAGGAAAAGGAGCTCTTCCAGTTTGCAGTGAGTTCCAGACTGGCCTGCAGGGAATGAAGATGCTCCTACACATGCCCAGGATATTCCAGCTTGGTGGCTGCAGCAAAAAAGACTATTTTTAAAGGAAATCAGGTGTGGCAGAGACTGAGGCTCAGCCTTTGGAATGTCATGGGCAGTGTGCATTCCTTCACACCACTAACAGTCCCACAGCTGCAGGGTTTGATGCTGAACTTGCTGGGTGCTGGAAATCCAGCATGGAATGACAGGACTGTGCTGGTGTCACACCGATGGCAGGATGTGGTCACCCCTTCCCCAGCCGTGGGGAGATGCATCTGCCCAATCTGCATATTCATAAATGTCAGGGATGGGTTTGTGCTGCCTCTGCCAGATGGGATGGCAGGATTTCAGCTGGCTCCTCCTTGGATTCTCATTCCCCGGGAATAAATGCAGGCTGCCCACATCCCTGATTGTTCATGGATTTCTCCAGCACTGCTGAGTTCTCACACCAGGGTCAGGCCTATGACATTCCCACTCTGGTTTGGATTTTGTCCCTCCAGGATCTCTGAGCAGTCGCACCTTCAGGAACCTGAAGGGCCATTTGCAGCCAAGAAGGGCCACTGGAGCACAGTGGGTGTCCCTTTCCATCCATAGTAGGAGGGCCTGGAAAACTCCTCTGCAAGTGCTTCCCACCACACTTGGGTTGGCATTTTTTTTCTTCCTTCTATAAAACAGCAATTCCTGGCCAAATCCAAGGGATGAAGGAAATCTCCCCTGTCTGTGCTGGAGATGAGGAGAGTCTTCTTGAAAGAAGTGTTTTCCAGCATGAAAGCATCAAAACAGGGCTCAGCAGTTTGTCTCCAAAGAGGATTTGGTGACAATTAATTGGAATTAACTCATTTATTGCAAAGGAATAAATCAGTCTGTGCTGCCCCATTCAGTAGGTGTAGTCTCTGGTCCTTTGCTTCTAGCAAAGAAAAAATCAGAATTGCAATAAAAACTGAGTGTTGTCCTTCAGATTGTGCCTCTTGAGCTGCCACAAAAAAAGGTTCTGCCTAAGCCAAGCTGCTGTTCCCAGACAAAGTTCCCTTTCCAGTTTGGGATCAGCCTTCAATACAGTTTTTCCTCAGTGTTTCACATCTTTTGGGTTTTGCCCATGGAAAGCTTACCTGACTCACTTGTCACTGGGCTTGGGGATGTATCCCTGGGGAAATTTAGCCAGAAGAACATCCAGCAAGACACTCCAAAACATGAAAGAGCACAGGTGGTGGCCAAAATGAGTGGAAAAACAGAAAGGCCACATAAAAGTGGTGCCTGTGGAGTCATTCAGCCACCCCTGTGCACTGATTTCAATCATTATGGCCTCCAGACAATATGTTCAGAGTCAACTCTAAGAATGAGGTGTCTGTGAACATATTTTGGTGACACCACTTGGGAACACTGAGAGCCACCATTTCCACTCCTGCAGAGAAGGACCTGCCGAAGATCCTTCTGAAAAAGGAAGGATGGCAGGACCTGGAGAAGGTCCACCTGGGGGAAGAGCTGAGTGACAAGAAAGACTAAATCCCTTTACAGCATTTTCCATGTCCAGGCAAAATAAAACAATCAATGAAACCCTCAAAGATCTTCCACAAAAGTTCATCTCAGCAGCTTCAGGGAGCTGTGTGTCAGCACTTCAAGTTATTTTCACTGAGAACCTGCCCCAGATGCTGGAGATCCAAATAAACAGCTAAAGTTCTCTTGCTAATCATCCATCAGATTCTGAGACACTTTGGCAGAAGCAAGAAAAGGGGAAGTCAAAGAAAAGAGATGGTTTTGCCCTTGTTTTGAAGGTTATGGTGGTATCTGTGTTATTCTGACACAACTTGCTTGGTCAGCAGCTTCTCAGTGGACAAGTTTCAATTTATCTCCACAGCAAAGAGGAAAATATCAGAGTGTCAATCCCTGTTTTGTTTTGTCAGACCTTTTGGTCAAGGAAAAGAGTGTTTTTTTCCTACTAGAAAATTAAGATCTCAGCTACTCCACAATACCTGAGAAGCTGCTCAGGTATTATTACAAGCTACTCAAATGCTGAATAATTCAGGATAAAGTTCTTCTTCTGGCCAGTTCCTCTTTTTCTTTTTTTTTTTTTTTCTTTGTTTTTCTTTCTTTTTAATTAAAACAAAATAAAATCTATTTAAACTGCAATATATAGTGAACACTTAGGAAAATAACAGTTCCATTGAAAGAACAAAGTTCCTACTCATCCCTAACAAATCTATGAGCTAAAGTCAATATGAAAATAACAGTGACACATTTAAAACAGGATTTCTAATCTACTTTTAAATCCTCTTAGGTTTTGGTGCAGATCAAAGCAAAGAGAAGGAAAAGATATGTGCAAAAAAAATTAGAAACCCTTCTTGGGTCAGAAATGCATCTCCTTGGGCAAAGGCAACAAGGGACAGGTTCACTGAGAGGTGAGTTCAGAGCCAAATGCACAGTTTTGGGAGGTATGAAGAGATACAGATTTGTTTTGAGGTAGACAGAGACCTCAAGATGTGCATGGACAAGTCTTCTTGAATGGTTTGTTGCTCACATCTTCCCTCAAATATTTTCCAGCACAGAATTATCACAAGGGGGCTCAGCAGCTTGTCTCCAAAGAGGCTCTTGGGATAATTAATCAGAATTAACTTATTTATTTCAAAGGAATAAATCAGTTTTTGCTGCCCCACTCTGTGGGTGTGCTCTCTTTTCAAACTTGGGCTTTCCACTTAGCTCAAGATCCTTTCTTCCCAAATAATCTCAGCTGAACTCATCTCATTGTGGTTTGGAGCAGGAGTTGACTGGAAATGTAATGGAAAGGGGACAGGGAGACAATAGTGAAATAATTTATTGAATCAGAACCCGTCTGGGGTACAATCAGGGTTTGCTGCACCTGGGATTGGCTTTACTCAATGTTGTGTTCTCAAAAATGAGTGAGTAACTAGTGAGTAAATAAGGATTTATCCTTCACTGCTGTACTCTGTGCAATGAGAAGAGCTGGAAATCCAACTCACACTTCCAGGCTCCATGGCTGTCCACCATCCCACTCCATCCTTCCTTGCTACCACAACCTCAGGAGAACTATCATGAAGAAGAGGCAAAGTTTCATCCCTGGGGAAGATCAAGAGAAGATGTTTTGCTCCTTGCTCAGTTATGGTGAATCTGGACCTGGAAAAGTGTCCATTCTACCATGCCAAAGTCCAAGAAGGATGTGAAAGAATCCAACAAGGGATTGGAAGATGGTTAAGGATGAGGATGGGTGTCCTGCAAAGAGAATCTGGGGAGCTGGGTCCCCCCTAGTTTATCCAGAACGTGAGGGGCTGTCTAAGGAGCTTTTCTGCCTATTGCCCCTTGTGTCCCCACGTTCAAACAATGACCACCCCTGCAGATCCCCCTCTACCCACCCATAGTGCCATCTCCACCTTCTTCTGCTTCACACCATTGCCCACTAGGACTGGTGAGGCCCTTCCTCCAGCTCCATTCAGTCCCACAAGTGTCTTTCAGGACCAGTTTCCATGTCTTTGCACTCCCACCCTCAATCCACAGCTTTGCTACAACGATAAAGTCACCAGCAAGTATGGAGGGACATGGATTAAATATCCCTTGTGTTGGGCAAACCTCAGAAGGAGATTAGCAACTGTGAGTCAAGGAGAGGAAATTCAGTATCCAGGTTTCATTAGGAAAAAAAAAAGCCTAATTGCAATATATTTTAAATTTATGGAAATGTTAAAATATGCATGAAATCATTTGAGCCCTTATTAGAGGAATATATTTATGTCCCTTTGTTTGAACTTCCCCTTTATCAGGAGATACTTCCCAGCCTCTGAAGACAGTTGAACTTTCCCTAGTTATTTGACTAATCAAAGGAGTTGTTCAAACATTCTCCACCACAAATTTGAAATAAAAAGAAGGGAATAATCATAATCAGCCATTTGCTTGCATTTGCTGAGCTGAGCTGAGTCTACTGTTGGTTTTTCCTCTTCATCCCCCTCCCAACTCAGCTTGTGGAAAAGAAGAACTGGGGATGAAAGTGCTGGAGCTTCACCAGCTCAACCCATCGATATGTTCCTGGTGTTGACAATTTGTCCCCTGTTCCCTGGAGAAGACGACCTGGAAGGAGGGTTCATTACAGGAGGAGGGCGGAGCATCCACCGAAGCCTTTGCCTCACTCAGTCCCTGCATTTTGTCTCTCTAATGGCCAGATCTTTCTCCACATCTTGGCACCGTGGGTTTTATTTTGTAAAAGGGAGGGACAGGATCACTGTTCTTGAACTAAACCCAAAAGAAGCAAAAAAGAAGAAAAAAGAAGCAAAAGAGAAGCTCTCTCAGCTTCCTGCTTTAACTATGTGGGAGAGGGGCTCCAACTGAAAGTAATGCCTTTAGGGATGGATATTTTGCCATCGGTGGCAGATTTACCACCAGCACACGAAAACCTGATGCAAGCCTGCTTATAGATTCCTGTGGATTAACCCCTAATCTTTGAGCTGAAGGCCTGGATCTGCAGGCGTGTGTGTTGGACGACGTGTGCATGCAAGGCAGGCAGGGCAGGGCAGGGCCATGCACAGCCTCACCCACATGCTCCCCTGGGACTGCTACTCCAACACGACCCTTCAGCAGCTTCCTGGTGCCTCTGGAGCGTCCCGAATTATTTATAGGGACAAGGCCAAGCTCCTCCTCCTGGGCAGGGAGAGGAACATGCGAAGGGAACATGCCTGCACTTACTATTGCACGCCTTCCTATTGCACAGCCGACCCTCCTCCAGGACTCCCTCGCAGCCGAGGCCCTCCTTGGGAAGGGGTTTGCAGGAGCGCATGCGGGTCTGGAGGCCTCCCCCGCAGTCCTTGGTGCAGTCGCCCCAAGCCGACCACGAGTTCCAACCACCTGGGCAAAATCCAGAAAAGCCCCGTCAGCTTCAGTGAGGAGGACGAGGCGACACCGGCCTGGCAAGAGCCTGCGATGCACCCACTGCCAAGCCCCAAAGCTCGGGTGTCCTTGAATGTGGTAGGACTTGGCACCACGGGGTAGCCCAGAAAGTCACAGAGTCACAGAATCAACTGGGTTGGAAAAGACCTCTGAGATCATCCAGTCCGACCTGTGACCCAACCCCACCTTGTCGAAGTGCCATGTCCAGGCCATGCTTCAACACCCCCAGGGGCGGTGACTCCACCACCTCCCTGGGCAGCCCATTCCAATGTCTGATCACTGTCTCTGGAAAGAACTTCTTCCCAATGTCCAACCTAAACCTCCCCTGGCACAGCTCACGGCTGTGCCCTCTTGTCCTATATCTGGTTCCTGGAGAAGAGACTGACACTCACCTGAAAGTCAAACCATAAGAGATGAATTGAGAAGCATTGCTTTTGTATTGACTTCTCTTCACTTATTCCCTATTTCTGTTGCCAGATTTCAAGAAGCATTTGGATAACACTCTCAGGCATGTAATGGGATTCTTGGGGCTGCCCTGGAATTCAGTGATCCTTATGGGTCACTTTCAACTCAGGATATTCTGTGATTCTATGATTTAACTAGTCCTGCTCTTCCTGTGGCAAAGAGGCCCCTTCTCACAAGACCTTCTACCTATTTTGTGTCCTGTTGTCTTCTAACCCCAGATGACATGAGCAGAAACCACTTCAGGATGCAAATCAAGCATCAGTGAGGTTGTGTCTCCTTCTTCTTTCGCCCAACAAACACTGTGTGAAGACCAGGGAGCTGGGAAGGGATAAGGGTGGGAGTTCTATGACTCAAGGCCACTCCTTTTCCCCACAGTGCAGACGAGCCACAGAGAGGCACCACTCCTGAGGACAGCTTTGGTAGGGGAATGATTTCACCCTTCAACACCCTTCCAGAACCCATGGGGAGCAACCTGTGAGCACCATGAGATGAAGATGGTTTTTAGGCTTCCCCTCCCAGCCATGCTCAGTGCTGGTGTCAGCAACACTCAGCTTTTTCCCCCTTGTCCCACCAGCTACCTCCCTGACAGGTGATGGATCCACCAAACTCCTGCTGCAGGGATGATCCTGCCACTGGCAGAAGGGAAATTCTGAGCCTCTGCAGCTTCTCCACCCTGCATCTTCCCAGCTTGTTGCCAAGAACAAGCATCCCTGGTGGAATGTCCATAAATGTTGATGGCAGGGTGGACCGTGAAGACCGTCTGAGTCTGGCTTGCCTCCCACAGTTAAAACACCTGCAGGGAGCCAAGTGAAGCTGGGTTTTGGGTTGTAAAAAGTCAGCAGGGGATCATCCAGGCCCTTCAGGTGACGGATAAGCTGTCACATCCCTCAGTGGTCTGTTCACTCCTCGTGGCCTGTGTGCAGCAAGCTAAAATCTGCTAAAATAAGCCTCAGCTGCCTGGCTGTTCTGCTCCATCGTGTGCCCACCTCATGGGGAGGAGCAGAGGTGGCCCTTCATCCCAGAGGTGGCCACTTTTCTATGGCTGTTTTTCCTGCTGTGAATTCTCTCATTACCCACAGCTACCCTTGGAGATGCCTCGGGTCCAGGAAATTCAGCTGTGTGCTGTGCTCAGGCACAGAGAAAGATAATGAGCTAAAGATGCAGTTTTTTGAAAGCAGGAAACACTGGGTAAAAGACAAATGCTGCTTTTAAAAATAAAAACGAAATAAAGCCCCTTTTTCTTTCCTTGCCAAGAGCCAGAGAATTCAGAGATGCAGATGATCCACTCGAGCTGACTCAGCCCCCCTGTATTGCTATTTCTGAGGCAGTGGAGATCATGGCTGTGCTCTGAACTGCTCCTGACACACACTAGGCAGGACACCAGCCTTCTCTGGAAAAACAAGCCCAACTAGATGCCAAATCAGAATACAGGGACATTATCAGCACCCCCTTGCTCAGGGCTGGGACAATATTCATCCACCTGCACAGCATAAAGCCACGAGTTCACACTCTGCTACCACCATGCTTTGACTTTTCCTCCCAAGACAGAGTGAAAATAAACATATACTCAGCAACATTCACAGTGGTGATGGTCATGGAAGCTGCTCAGGTACTTAATAATGAGAATAACATGGGAGAATGGAGCAGGATGGAAATGCAGGGGAGTGAACCTGCCAGCCAGGAGCTCAGAGATCCTGGCAGCAGCACGAGGATGGAGTTTTATTGGCACACAACAAATATTTGACCTTGAAGAAGATTGTCTTTTCCTCAAAAGTCACTTTCTGTACTGGTTCCTTTTCTAAACAGCATTGGGAAAACAGGCTTGTCTCTCCTCTTTCCTGCTGGGGCACAGATTGTGTTTCAGTTACAGGAGAAGCCCTTGGCGTAATGGGAGGTATCCTGATGCCTGGCTTGAACTGATCAATAGAATATCTGCAACCAGACACCTTTAGGAGATAACCAACACTTTGCTTGCCCTTTTCAGGATGTCTTTCTTTGCTCCCTTGCAGATTAGGATTAGGTTTAGACAGAAACCACCTCCACACAAGCCTTAGGTGGGGTTAGGATTTATTTCCCTGGGATACTTTTTTGAGACAAAACGTCTAATTGGTCCAGTGCTTTAAAAAGTTATTTTATATTGTGTTTGTAAGTAAAATACACACTGGTTACCTAGATTCACTGGATGTCGTGGTGTTGCCAGTTTGATGATGGGTTATTCAAACAGGTCTGCATTTCAGGACAGAAACCATTATGATGAAACTGACCCCCTCAAATATATAGAAATAGGTGCTGCCTGGTCTCACTACGTGAAAGAGTGAGGGACAGTGCAGGTGCCAGTCTTTGACTTCTTAATTCATCGTTGGAAGGGACCTTAAAGATCATCGTGTTCCAACCCCCTGCCATGGGCAGGGACACCTTCCACTAGCCCAGGTTGCTCCAAGCCCCATCCAACCTGGCCTTGGACACTTCCAGGGATGGGGCAGCCAAAGCTTCTCTTGGCAACCTGTGCCAGGTCCTCACCACCCTCACAATTAAGAATTTCTTCCTAATATTTAATCTAAACCTACTCTGTTTCAGTTTGAAGCCATACTCCCTTGTCCTGTCACTCTATGCTCTTCTCCAAAGTCTCTCTCCATCTTTTTTGTAGCCCCCTTCAGGTACTGGAAGGCCACAATTAGGTCACCTCAAAGCCTTCTCTTCTCCAGGATGAACGATCCCAACTCTCCCAGCCTTTCCTTCCAGCAGAGCTGCTCCATCCCTCTGATCACCTTGGTGCCTCCCCTGGCCTTGCTCCAACAGCTCCATGTCCTTCCTGTGCTGGGGATCCTACAGCTGGATCAGCACTACAGGGGGGGTCTCACCAGAGCAGAGTAGAGGGGGTAGCTCTTACTCTGCTTATCCTCAGCAATGGGAGAAGCAGTCAAAACAAGATAAAAACCATCATGATCTCAAAACTTTAACTGGAATGAGATCTCTTTATGAGGTTGAGCACAGATAACTTCCTTCCTCTCCTTATTCCTCAGTTTCCATCCCATTTGTGAGTACTATAGAGAAGTTAGAGAAGTACCAGAGCACTTCCTAAATCAACACAGGCATTTACAGCCAAGACAAAGGTATTCCCCACTTTATGGAGCAGTCCTTTTTTATCATCAGGTTGTACCATGGTCCTGACAAACTAAATGCTGCATGTTATTTATCCTGTTTATTGGCTGTCAGATAAACCTTTTGAAATCTTCCTTCTTTTCCTGGGTCTAGTCATTCACTGTTTCAGGTGATTTGTCTTTTTTAGTGGAGCTGTAAACAAGTGGTTAAGGGTCTATTATATGAAGTTATTCCCATCCTACCTTTCAGGGGGGAAAATGCTGTGCCATGAGTACAACACTGGGCTCTTCTGTCCACTATGAAAGGATCTGGCTGGTGGAAAAGAGTGGCTGGATAACAAGGTAGTCACTGAGGGAGCTGGGAGAGTTCAGCCTGGAGACATGGAGGGTGAAGGGAGACCTTTTCACTCTCTACAACTCCCTGAAATGAGGTTGTAGCCAGACGGGGTCAGTCTCTTCTTCCAAGTAACAAGTGGCAAGATGAGAGGACATGGCCTGAAGTTGTGCCAAGGTGAGCTTTAGATTATATATTAGGAAAAATTTCTTCATCAAAAGGGTTGTCAAGCATTGGAACAGGCTGCCAAGGGAAGTGGTGGAGTCACAATCCCTGGAAGTGTTCAAAGAATTTGTGGGTATGGCACTTAAGGACATGGTTTAGTGGTGAACATGGGGGTGGTGCTGTGTTGACAGTTGGACTTGGTGACCTTAGAAGGCTCTTCCAACCTTAAGGATTCTATGACTCCATGAAGGGAACGATCTGCAGTGGCTGTGGAGCAGCTGAGCTCCACAACCCACAGGTGCTTTCAGCCCAGTGCAGACGCTGCAGAAGAGGCACAAGTGGGGTGTGGTCACTGCAGTGGTTGCACAGAGGCCTTATCACTCAATTAATCTCTCAGCCTCTGCTTGTTCAGCTGACACAACCCTCATGGACTTCCCACCTTCCAGGAAACTCATCCCCCCTTGTTCACCACACAACTCCCTGCTCTGTCCCTTCTTACATTTCAAGCACGGGCAGGGAGGAGACCTTTCTGGTGCAGGGAATCAAATAACCCACATGAAACACAGCACAGACTCGCACTGAAGTTAATGGGACCCTTTGCAGACAAGTCCCTTCTGCCCCTGGAGGTTCCTGTTTCATCAGCTCTCCACCAACTGCTGCACCCTGCTGATCGATGCGGGTTGAGTTGCCATCTGTCCTTAATCCAGAAATAATGAGTCTGCTGCAACTGCTCTATAAAGGGTTTTGATTTTCAAAGGCACTGACTCCTCTGAAGGTCACACGTTCAACCCTTTCCCACTTAGGGAAGTTTTGCTCAGCTCCAGCCTCGCAGGTCCACAGGCTCCTCTCGCTTTGCCCTTTGTTCCCTTTAACAGGAGTGGCTCTGGCTCATG